CCCCCCCCCCCCTCCCCCCTTCGTTAAAAAATGTACATGAATTTATATTGAATCAGGGATAGGTTAGCTCATAAAATTTTAGGGCCAAGCGCTGCAGCCAGGGCATGCTGCTACATATTAAACATTTCTTATACATGTTATAATGAAATTTAAATAATTATATTTGCATTGATTTCAAATTTCTGAAATGAGTTGGTTTCCTTCATATAATAAGTAGTTTAGGGGAAGCCCTAAAATCCCCCATTTATTCTTCCCGTGAGCCATGAGCAAAAATAACATTTTAAAAACTTGGATTACGATTATGGATGATCAATGTTTTTTTCTTACCGTTTCGTCGTCCATTTTGGTAGTTAAATGCTTAAAAATTGAAGAAAACCAATTTAAAAGTTTAAACAATGTCCTTTCTTGGAAACTCAACCGGCGACGAAGTTTAAGGATAACAGCTGTTAATCAACAAAATACTACGGGGCACGGTCGCTTTAAAGCTGTCATTCATGCAGGGTTACCACATTTTAAAAGTTTTTTTTTCAATACCAATTTAGTCTAACTATTTGCTCCACTTTTATAAATATTTCAATTTCTCTAGGGTATAACGAATTACCATTATCTTGAATTCTTGATTTTTATGATCTTACTGCTTTTTTTCATTCTCACCAAGGTTCTAACTCTTTTAACCCTGCATATATATAATAACCATAAGGAATTCAATTTACTTTCAGTATATATAATTAATCTGCTATAGCAAAGTAGAAATAAAAGAAAATTGAACAATGTCTTTATTTAATCATGTTTAGACAAAAAAGAGAAAATAATTAACACTGGAAAGACTTAAAACAGCCACTCCAACAGCATTTCCAGCTCTTCAACAGCTGACAGCTGTTTTACTAAAACAATTTCTCCGACACAATTAAAGAAATGGCAAAAATTGCGCGAATTATAAAGGAAAGTAAGACGATATATTTAAACACCCTCTTGTTCCGTGGTGTATTTTTCGACCTACGCAAATCTGCTATACTCCACTTCTGACCCACGCCAAATCCACTATACTACACATCCGACCTACTAGCACGTGGTTTTACAGCTGCTATATGGACTTCTGGCCGCAGCGCGCGGCCCCCTTGCCTGTCCTATCCGCAGCGCTCGGCCCAGAAATTGTCTTAACCTAACCTAACCCTCAAATAATACAAAAATAAACAGCTGGCGTAGCCCGATATTGCAGTAGGTCGGAAAGTTAGTAGGTCGGAAGAGGGGGGATGTTGCGTATAGACGATGTAACATTACCCTCTTGTTCATGGGATGTCAAAAAAATGGGCGTATAGGTCCACAAATACATCATCAAAAAGGGAGGAGCTGGGATTATGGTGTTATGGAAGAGGGAGGGAGTCCAGAGTTCCTCGCTATAATGTTACATCGTCTATCTCCCCTACTGAACTTCCGACCTATAAACTTTCCGACCTACTGCAATATGGGACCTATGTCAGCTGTTTATTTTTGTATTATTTGAGGGTTAGGTTAGGTTAATTGACAATTTCTGGGCCGAGCTCCGCGGCTAGGACAGGCTAGGGGGCCGGGAGCTGCGGCCACATGTCCATATCGCAGCTGTAAAACCACGTGCTAGTAGGTCGGATGTGTTGTATAGCGGATTTGGCGTAGGTCAGAAGTGGAGTATAGCGGATATGTGTAGGTCGAAAAATACACCACCGAGTTCCTCAAATAGTAATCACCGCCACCCAAATCTGTTTTGCGGCAAGCGCGCTCCTCAATTGGTAATCTCCACCACCTCAAATAGTTTCAAGTTTAAGCATTTTAATTAAACATTTGTTGCCCCCCCCCCCTGGGCCAACCCTAAAAATTGAAGAAAAAAAACAGTATATTTTCAATTAAATCATTTATTATCACATCTTAAGAAATCTCCAGATTAAACAAATGAATTTTCTCCTTCATAAATTTATAGTAAGAACTGATGATACAGGGTATACCCACAAAAGATGAGACTTCAGAGACGATTGTACGGAATTTAAACTGTCCGTTTTCTAACATTTATGATTCTCTATACAATCTAAAACGTGTGTCTTACTGTGCGAAATATCAATCGGAGAGGCCTTAAATTGACTATCTTTAAGGTAGATGACTTATTTAACCTTGGAATCTTCATATTTAAAGAGATTCAGGTCGTCTTTACAGTCTTATCCTTTCTGGATAATCCTATATAATCAAATAATTAAATATTTCCCACAGAATACATTGTTCCACTGAATATATTCGGTTATCGGTTTAATTTTTGCAGAGCCGCAGTTTAAAATACAATTGGATTGAAAAACATTTGAAAAAATCTTAAACATTAAAGAAGTCAAAAAGTCGCAGAAACATACATCTTAAACACATGGTCTGGTTTTTTTTTCAAGGTAGTTTCATTGTGCGACTATGCGAGTCTCAGCAGAGTCACAGTATAAAATACAATTCTATTAAAAAAACTTTGAAAAAAACTTGAAAATTAAAAAGTCACAAAGTCAAAAATTCGGAGAAACACACATCTGAAACACATGGTCTGGATTTTTTTTTCAAGGTGGTTTCAGTCGCAGTTTAAAATACAATTCTTTTTTAAAAAATTCGGAAAATTCTTGAAAATTAAAAAATTCACAAAGTCCAAAAATCGCACATACACAAAATGCGTTCTAAAACAATATTTTGATTATCAATATATAATTGAAACCCATTGGTAATGTGTCACATATATTAAACTGAGGCTGCTAACTCAGCAATTACAAGTATAAACAAGAACATTACAATTATTATCGCTAGTTTAAAACATGCATCACCATTCATTGTTAGAGTCTTAATCTTTTTCATATACAGACATCATAATTGCAGGAATAGCCTTAAAAGGACTGTTTACTGTTCATCTTTAAATACTCATAATATAGCCTTATTTTTCTGGCAGAAGGAACACAAATAACTCTATTATTTCATTCAAAATGTTCTATATATTAAATTTAATCTTTTAGCATTAACTTTCATCATAATGTTTTTGCTTAAAGGGACTGTAAACGTATTTTCAAGTGACAATATGACAAAACTCGATTTACAACTGTACCATATAAAGCTTTGTCTGATCAAGTATGTAAGAGTAATAAATATCGTAGTAAACCCCATATTCTTCAAACCTGAACACACCTAGATATATTACGTTATACATTAACCTACCTATGCTGGTAAATAACTACGTCAAATCTGTATTGCGAGTAATCTAACTACGCCTGTAAATAATGAAGTATAAAAACTTGTAATTATGTTTATTAACTTAACCTGTAACCAGGGTTGCCAATATCAATATTTTGCATGAAAATCGTTTATACAAATGTATACAAATATATATAGACTAGGCTTTCAGTGCGCTTCGCGCCCATCTTCTATTTCAATTAATTGTGAGCATTTTCTAATTTTAATGAATATATTGTAAAATCAAAAAAGTTTGCAGATTTTCTAATAGACTTTGTGGATTTTGAAAATTTATTGGAAATAGAATTTTGTTTGAAGCAAATTTTTGACATTTTGATCATTCATGAACCTTCCCTAAGTGATCACGTGAGGTCCCACACAAAATTTGGGCGTTTATTGGATACAACACAAAAAAAAGTTTGCAGATTTTAACAAAAATTTTGTGGATTTTCAAAATTTTCAAAAATTTAATGAAAATCGAATTTTGACGGAGACAAATATTTGAAATTTTGATCATTCATAAACCATCCCTGGTGCCACGTGAGGTCCCACACAAATTTGGGCCTGATCGGTTCAGCCGTTTTGACGTTATTGGATACAAAGAAACAAACAGACAAGCTAAATTTATATATATATTAATGCATAGTTGAGACGCACATGCTATAGCGGCACCTTTTTAGCCTTTTTTTAAAATATATTTATCATAACAAAATTTAATAAAAAAGTAACCCACATTTATTTTACCGTGTCTAAACTATAAAAATGGTAATAATATAATTATTGTTCATGAATAAAATACTGAAGCTATTGAAGTGGTTTCTTACTGAAACTAATTCACATCATATAATGTCCAAATATTTAAATCTTTTATATTTGAGCAATATGTCATGAAACTAATATTACTTATTTTCGTATTCATGCTCAAAGTCATGCAAAAATTATGATTTTTACTATGTATTCATCCCTAATTTCGTGCAAAAAAATATTTATTTCTAATGAAAGCGTAATTTTGTGCAAACCTAGTTTCGTATTGATACAAAAATGATGCAAAATTTCATGCAAAAAAAAGTAATTTTGTGCAAAAACTATTTTGTGGAAACCCTACCTGTATCATAGAACTCAAAAATATAACTTAGTTGGAATAAAACTCTGCTTGATTACAGTATTAGAGTAATTTTCCTTGCATGAGAGGGACCTGAGTCACATCTTAATAGATAGATATAGACTAGGAATCATAATAAGCTGCATATCTTGTAACTTTAAGACATATATACCAAAGAATACAAAGAGAGTAATATCCGGATTGACAAAAGTATTACTTAGGAATCTTGAGTTTAAGATTGAGGTTTATCTGTACACGGTACACATAAAAGAATACAGAGAGAGTCATATCTAGATTGATATTTACTAAAGTATTATTGAGGAACCTGGCGTTCGAGATTCAGTTGTGTCTGTACGATACTGAAGGTTATATCTGGATTGGTACTGATCTAAAAGCATTTGTTGGGGTAGGTCATTTTATACATATTTTACTACATAGTGGTTCATGAATTAAATAATGATTATTTTTAAATATGGTTTCTCTCTACTAAAGTGACTTGCTCATATCTCTGCAGGGAGATATAATGGAGTTATTAGATTTAAACTCTTTTCAATCACAAATATCTTCTATTGTCATCTTTACATTAATGGTCGCTTGAAATTACGCTATAACAGTCCCATTAATGATCCCCAAACCCACATTCAGGACTTAGAAACTTTGATAAACCGCCCCCCCTCTTTACCTTATTAAATGGGGAAGGTCCCCCCCCCCCACCCCCTAAATCCTTGAACAAATTCTAGTTTAAATTCTTCTATAAACTATTTTGTTAAAATTAGGCATAACCAGGAAAGAATTATAAAGAATTAAAAACATAGTAAAATAGAAATACAAATAGTTAAAATGAAACAAAAGAGTTAAAAAAGAAAAAACGAGTTTTAAATAGTTAAAAATTGTCAAAAGAGTTTAAACGAGTTATAGATAGTTAAAAATTGCCAAAAAGAGTTTAAAAGGCTCAAAAAGAATAAATAGCAACATTATGGATGACACATTAAGATGATGGATGCTAATTTCAATGCACAACATGATGTTAGTTTATCATTTTACGTTAAAACTCAAAGAAAAAGTAGAATTTAAACAGGTGTGTGTATTGATAATAAAACATATGTGAAAGAATATCTTTTAAAATAATCAACATTTTAGAAAATATTTTCTAACATTGTTGACGTTTTCAGTGAATTATAAAAGGTAACAAGTTATTAATTAAAAATATTAACATAATACAGCACTTTTCTTAAATATCGGTAAAAATTAAACGTTAATTTCAAATGTCCATCAATTTATATAGCGCAGTACTATGTCTTCAATTTAAGTGCGGTACTATGTCTTTAATTTGTATAAGCACGGTACTATGTCTTCAATTTGTATAAGCATGGTACTATCTTATCAATTTGTATAAGCAAGGTACTATGTATTTAATTTGTATGAGCATGGTACTATGTCATCAATTTGTATAAGCACGGTAGTATGTCTTTAATTTTTATAAGCAAGGTACTATGTCATCAATTTGTATAAGCATGGTACTATCTTATCAATTTGTATAAGCACGGTACTATGTCTTTAATTTGTATAAGCAAGGTACTATGTCATCAATTTGTATAAGCACGGAACTTTGTCATCAATTTGTGTAAGCCTGTAATATGTCTTTAATTTGTATAAGCACGGTACTATGTCATCAATTTGTATAGGCACGGTACTTTGTCATCAATTTGTATAAGCACGGTACTATGTCATCAATTTGTATAAGCACGGTACTATGTTATCAATTTGTATAAGCGCGGTACCATGTCATCAATTTGTATAAGCAAGGTACTATGTTATCAATTTGTATCAGCACGATACTATGTCTTTAATTTGTATAAGCACATGGTACTATGTCATCAATTTGTATAAGCACGGTACTATGTCTTTAATTTGTATAAGCACTGTACTATGTCATCAATTTGTATATAAGCACGGTACTATGTCATCAATTTGTAAAAGCGCGGTACTATGTTGTTATCAATTTGTATAAGCGCGGTACTATCTCATCAATTTGTATAAGCGCGGTACTATGTCATCAATTTGTATAAGCGCGATACTATGTCATAAATTTGCATTAGCACAGTAATATGTCATCAATTTGTATATAAGCGCGGTACTATGTCATCAATTTGTATAAGCACAGTACTATGTCACCAATTTGTATATAAACGCTGTACTATGTCATCAATTTGTATAAGCGCGGTACTATGTTATCAATTTGTATAAGCGCGGTACTATCTCATCAATTTGTATAAGCGCGGTACTATGTAATAAATTTGCATAAGCACAGTAATATGTCATCAATTTGTTTAAGCGTAGTTCTATGTTATCAGTTTGTGTAAGGGTGGTAGGAATAGCCATATTTTATGAATTTCAGGTCGTCTTTGCAATCTCATTATTTGTGAGTAACACTGTAGTTTAATTACAAACAGAACAACAATGGACGTTACAAGTTCTACAGAACAAACTGTTGTAACTGTACTGGCTTTCATTAGGAAATGTTTTTAAGAAATTTTATAAAAACCCAAAAGTTTAAAATCAGAATCATTTGCTTTAAAAATATGAGTCAAAATTATTTTATTGAACAAGTTTTATCATAATGTCAAGGACCACAGGTTTAAAGGGAGTTAGCGATGAAGGTTATATTGCAAGGAAACTTATTTCAGAAGTCTACGCATCTTTTGTACTGCAGTGTACTGTCTGTGGGCGGTAATGTAAACAAACGACGGATGTTGTATTTCACAAATTTATGGATTCCATTGTATAATGAGAACTCCATTCAGGTCTGCTGATAGATATTCAAATCTTTAACCTCGAACCATTTAATGACTCGCAGTTAGAATCAGAAAACTCTGGAATAGGAAGACGACTTTTAGACTCAATTTATGACTTTAAAAAGTCCAACACATGAGAAAAAAGCAATTAAGAAACTGATGTAATTCTTTTCTGTCGTTTTCATTTTCTGGTTCTCCCTGTATGACAAATTAAAAAAAAACATTTTGACCAGTGGCGCCATCTTTATTTTTCTGCTTGTACTGTATGTTGGTCTGCTGATGTACCGACGGTTTGGGCAGGATAAACCAACTGACGTAGCCTGCTGTATTGTTTACAATATAGAACAGGATAAGGTAGGATTATAGATTGGGATTGCAAGTAAACCAGCATGGTTTCAGAACCAAGGTATTACATTTCCTTTAATGATAACAAAAGTGAAAAAGTAAAACTGAAAATGAAAAGTTTAAAAAGAATATTTATATGCATGATACCAAATCAACGTTTAGAAAAGTCGACTTCTGAGTTCTGGTTGTCAAAAGTAGGGATTTGTTTGAGCCATAACCCAGTCAAATGATACCCTTGAAATCTTTTTCTGATCAAGAATAAAAAGACACCATGCATGATTTTCTCTCTGAAAATTACTTGTTTTCAGCCGTGGTTTCTCTTAAGTGCCTTGCTCATTTTTGGTTTTGAAATATTGGAGTAAACTGCCAGAATTGAACACTTTTCTTTGTCAGGTTTGTTTAGAGATTTCTTGTTGTATTGTTTACAAAATAGATAGAGCTAAGGTAAACTATACCCTGATAACCAGAATACGATGAAATGGGAAGACGACATTGTAGCAATACTTTATTCATTCATTCATATTTTTATTCAACTACAAAGCACGAGATAGTACAAATAAAAAATCACAATTTGCATGTAGTTTGAACCCGCCTAACCAGAGTAGGTTGTTTGAATTGGTTGGCCTATTATAAACATTTTAAACATAACAATGATGGGGAGTTGGAGTTGGATTTTATCCATCTTCTCTTGAAGGCCCCGGCCGGTCCTCAACTGACTTGTCCTTCCTCAAATCCCTGTGTTTAGGAGGGGGGGGGGGGAGCAGGGTTTGTACTTTACCTCGTGGAGTCAGATCATTGGCCTGGATTTAAATTAGAACGCATGGTTTAGTTTGGCTTGTTGGCGCATACAAATGTGATCTTTTGTTCATTTCCAGCGGCCAGATATTTTGAATACAACTATACATGAGGCGGTTTATTATCCGCCCTACTGCTAACATAAACTACAGGCATTTACATGTAAGCTGTAAGCTCTTCATGCTTACATTACACTACACAATTGCTTTTTCTCATGCTCCTTGGAGGACCTAAGGTTATAACTTGATCAAAAAGTTGTCCTCCTATTTCAGACTTTTTTGGTTATAACTGTACTGAAAACTGAATATGGGACTCAGCCCCTCCTTTTACATTTTTCCCCCTCTCGTTTCTAAAAACTTTTTATGTTTTAACTATAAAGGAGAACTTTGTAAAACCATGGATTTGTTTTCAACTTGCTTTTAAATGTAAGTGACTAAAAGCGCAATTGCAATTATCACTCCATGCAAATTTAGCAATGCTCGATTTACAACAGTGGCCTTAAAACCATGATCAGATCAAAACTGTGTGACATATAGTTATGTTAAAAACTGATCAGAGACCGAATTAATGAATTTGAGCCGCATCTCAAGTCTGCCCAAAACCAGTTTCAATTAAGCGCTGGTTTAAATCTTGAAACATTGAATACAATTTTCAAGTGTAGCCAACCATATTTGAGCCACATTTCAAATTTAAGCGGCTGCTCAAATTCTTAAAATTTGGCCTTATTTCTGATAATTCCTATATTTCATGCATTTATGTATTGAAACCACATTATAAGTTTTCAGAATAATAATCATTCATATCAGATGCATGCTTGATTAGCATAAGCATTTAAGGGTATCATTGTAAATAGGGCATTGCCATCCCTGTGATGAGGAAAAGTTGAAATTACATTCCCTTTCAGGTCTGTATATCTCCTGAGACTGAGAAGAAACTAGAGCATATTTTAATTCTAGATGATATAACTGGACTTCTCCCCCCTGTACTCCAGGTTCTCAAGGTAAACCAGATATAACTGGTCTTTTACCCTCTGTTCTCCAGGTTAACAAGGTAAACCAGATATAACTGGTCTTCTACCCCCTGTACTCCAGGTTCTCAAGGTAAACCAGATATAACTGGTCTTTTACCCTCTGTTCTCCAGGTTAACAAGGTAAACCAGATATAACTGGTCTTCTCCCCCCTGTACTCTAAGTTCTCAAGGTAAACCAGATATAACTGGACTTCTCCCCCCTGTACTCCAGTTTCTCAAGGTAAACCAGATATAACTGGTCTTTTACCCTCTGTTCTCCAGGCTAACAAGGTAAACCAGATATAACTGGTCTTCTACCCCCTGTACTCTAGGTTCTCAAGGTATATCAGATATATCTGGACTTCTCCCCCCTGTACTCCAGGTTCTCAAGGTAAACCAGATATAACTGAATTTCTCTCCCCTGTACTCCAGGTTCTCAAGGTAAACCAAATATAACTGGTCTTTTACCCCCTGTTCTCCAGGTTAACAAGGTAAGTCAGATATAATTGGTCTTCTTCCCCCTTTACTCCAGGTTCTCAAGGTAAACCAGACATAACTGGACTTCTCCCCCCTGTACTCCAGGTTCTCAAGGTAAACCAAATATAACTAGTCTTTTACCCCCTGTTCTCCAGGTTCTCAAGCTAAACCATACATAATTGGACTTCTCCCCCTGCACTCCAGGTTCTCAAGGTAAACCATATATAACTGGACTCTCCGGGTTAACAAGGTAAGTCAGATATAACTGGTCTTCTCCCCCCACCATACTCCAGGTTCACAAGCTAAAACAGATATAACTGGACTTCTACCCCCTGTACTCCAGATTCTCAAGGTAAACCAGATATAACTGGTCTTTTACCCTCTGTTCTCCAGGTTAAAAAGGGTAAACCAGATATAACTGGTCTTCTCCCCCCTGTACTGCAGGTTCTCAAGGTAAATCATATATAACTGGTCTTTTACCCCCTGTTCTTCGGGTTAACAAGGTAAACCAGATATAACTGGACTTCTCCCCCCTGTACTCCAGGTTCTCATGGTAAACCAGACATAACTGGACTTCTCCCCTCTGTACTCCAGGTTCTCAAGGTAAACCAAATATAACTGGTCTTTTACCCCCTGTTCTCCAGGTTCTCAAGGTAAACCATACATAATTGGACTTCTCCCCCCTGTACTCCAGGTTCTCAAGGTAAACCATATATAACTGGTCTTTTACCCCCCGTTCTCCGGGTTTACAAGGTAAGTCAGATATAACTGGTCTTCTACCCCCTGTACTCCAGGTTCTCAAGGTAAATCAGATATAATGGTCTTTTACCCTCTGTTCTCCAGGTTAACAAGGTAAACCAGATATAACTGGTCTTCTCCCCCCTGTACTCTAAGTTCTCAAGCTAAAACAGATATAACTGGACTTCTACCCCCCGTTCTCCAGGTTCTCAAGGTAAAACCAAATATAACTAGTCTTCTACCCCATGAACTCCAGGTTCTCTAGGTAAACCGGATATAATTGGACATGAACTCCAGATTCTCAAGATAAACCAGATATAACTTGACTATTACCCCCTGTACTTCAAGTTCTCAAGGTAAACCATATATAAATTTTCTTTTAACCCCTGTACTCCAGGTTAACAAGGTAAACCAGATATAACTGGACTTTTACCCCCTGTACTACAGGTTCTCAAGGTAAACCAGATATAACTGGACTTCTACCCCCTGAAATACAAGTTCTCAAGGTAAACCAGATATAACTGACTTCAACCCCATGTACTCCAGATTCTCAAGATAAACCAGATAGAACTGATCTATTACCCCCTGTACTCCAGGTTCTCTAGGTAAACTATATATAACTGGTCTTTTAACTCCTGAAATCCAGGTTCTCAAGGTAAACCAGATTTAACTGCTTAAAGCCAAAACCTTAGACACAGGATTTCTCGATGATGCATGGCCGAGTAAATATTCATTGTTCCTTTTAATATCGAAAATATTGAATAAGTAAATCCTTTTAATATCGAAAATATTGATAAGTAAATGCTATTTCTAAACAAAATATTTAAGATATTGTTTAGTCTGGTGTATGAGTGTTTTTATTTAGTGTGTTCACAGTTTAATGGAGCAAGTATCATCTCAGAGCCTTCTCATCAGGTTTTAACAGTATTAATTTAATACAGGAGATTAGGGAGGGTTGTAGGATTGATCAGGAGTATAGGAGGGTTGTAGGATTGATCAGGAGATTAGAGAGGGTTGCAGGATTGATCAGGGGTATTGTGATGGTTGTAGGATAGATCAGGAGATTTGAGAGGGTTGTATTAATATAGGCTCAACTCAATCGGGAACTCACGGTTCCAGGAATACCTTACTTTAAATGTCAAACATGGACACAATCTCGTAACTATCAATGCCAACACGGGCACCATCTCATAAAATATCAGTACCAAACACAGGCACAATCTCTTGAGCTATCAATGTCAAACATGGACTCAATCTCATAAACTATCAAGACGGGCACGATCTTTAGCTTTACGGACAAGATCTTGTAAACTATCAATGCCAAACATGGGCAAAATCTTGAGCTATCAATGTCAAACATGGACACGATCTCATAAACTATCAAGCAAACACGGGCACAATCTTTAGCTTTACGGACACGATCTTGTAAACTATCAATGCCAAACATAGGCACAATTTTGAGCTATCAATGTCAAACATGGACACGATCTCATAAACTATCAAGCAAACACGGGCACAATCTTTAGCTTTATGGACACGATCTTGTAAACTATCAATGCCAAACATGGGCACAATCTTGAGCTATCAATGTCAAACATGGACACGATCTCATGAATCATAAATGTGAAACATGGACACCATCATCTACCAGTTCGCAAATCAAGGAACGATTACTTCTCTCACTGTAATCTAAGTGGAGTCTATTCCAACTGTGTGTATTTTGAGTTCTAGGTTACAAGTTAAGTTCAATAATTAATAGATGTAATTACAAGTTTTGCGTCATTATACACAAACTGTAGTTAACCTCATCATAATATGGGTTCAACATAGTTATTCATAGACGTATCTAGGTTAGGTTAATTATAGTTCAAGATTTAAATACTATTAAGAGCATTTAGATTTACGGACAATGTATACGTAATAAACCTAGGCCTGGTAACTATGAGATCTGCAACTGTATTTATTATATAGGAAGACGTCATGATTGCAATACTTAAAGGTTTTTGATGTTGTTACAAATCAAATAATTTAGCTTGACACTTATAAAATAACTAATTTAGAAAATGGACCTGTTTACATCATGTGCTCATTGGACTTTTCATATTAAAACTTGATTCTAAAAGTCGTCGTCCTATTCCAGAGTTTTCTGGTTATTTCTATATGTATTCAGGAACCCTAAAGATATTGGTCCTCTTGAGAGAGCTATCAGGCATATACCCTTCCTGCTAGACTCAGCAATACAAACTGTTATTGTGACCAATATTCACCCTCCTAGCGTAGATGTAAGATCTTTCATTTTTTTGCTTTCACTTTGGTAGTTTTTATTGCAGTCGTTTTTGTTTTTGTGCTTTCATTTGTACTTTTATTTTTACTTTTTTTGGTTATTATATGTTGTTTAGTAGGAAATTTTTTAATTATTTTGTAAATAGCATTATTAAAAAAATGTTGTTTTATGCAGTAAGAACCAGAAAACTGTGTGAAGGAAAGGAGACATTAAAGCAATGTTTGAGTTTAATTTATGCTGTTACAAAAGAAATACTTTTACTAGTTATACATTACTAAATCCCTTATACAATGAAATGGGCCTGTTTACACTGCATTGCTATTTCACATGCTGTTAGACTATTTAAAGCAATCACTCAGTTTTAACGTCGTCTTCCTACTCCAGAGTTTTTGGTTCCCAGTATAGTTATTTGGTTTTTTTTGCGTGTTATTTTATTGTCATTTTTTGCTGCTGCATATTGTCAACTTTAAACATTATTATAAATTTTGTATAATATTTTTTTTTAATATGGTCAATGGTCATAAGAGGTCAGATTGATGCAAAATACTATAAGTACAACTTTATAATTATAAGTTTATGCGTTATGTTATTTTTGTTTCAGACCCGAATACAGAACCTAGTGCTGGGAATAGAACAAGTTGTTGGGTTGGTTTCAATAATTAATCTTCATGATAACCAGGTCTATTTACTCGGAGGTTGTTTATTAAGGTTAGATACACTGGAACGGAAGCGCTCCAATGAACGGAATAAGTCGTCTTCATAACAATCTCCACCCAATAAACTGCTTTTTGGCGGAAGATTAAGTGACAAAGTGGTTGGTGAGAGGGAGAGAAGGATTATCTTCGTTTGTCAGCTGTTAAAAGTGGAGAAAATCCTCCCCCCCCCCTCTGGCACCAACAATGTTGTCACTTCAACCTCAGCCAATAAGCAGTTATTTCAAATGACAATTTTCAGTGTCCATTGCTATGAAGACGACATTTCCGTACATTGGAGAGCATCCTGCATATCTAACCAGAATAAACATCCTTCAGTTAAACATATTAGGCACTCAACTCAATAAATTACAGAGACATTGTCGAATTATCTACAGCCAGTTAAACTACTTCTCAAATGCTCAATGGCTCAAATCAAGATTACAGATTTAAAGTTTAAGATTTTGAACATCCATAGTTTGAAGTCAGCTAATGCAGAAATTTTCTAACAATCCAATCAGAGCACCGCAAAATATCGGGTTCATCAAACTATTGGTTGAAACAGAACTTGACTCTTAGTCACTAGGATTGTTCAAAATATAAAAACTGAAACGTTAAATTTTGAACTGCAGCCAGGAAATTTAAGTTGTTGAACCATCTCTACGTAGTTCTATTTGTCTCAATAAGTATAAAAAGGGAACCACCATATCTGATGTGTCCAATCTGTTTACTGCAGTGGGAGGAGACCAAAACAAAGAATCTAGGGGAAAAACATCATGCGTGTGGGTAGGTGGGGGGGGTATTGAATTTGCTTATTAAGATCTGCTACTTAAATCGTGAAAATATATGCAGGATAAATGGTTTCATCGATATTTTTGAGAAAATGACTGGCGTTTCTAAAAGCTTCGGTTCTACTCTACAGGTTGTGGAAAGACCGAGTTTGTTTACATTGCTCACAGACAGTACAGTTAATGATTTTTGAACGTTTGAGTTGGGAGTCCCATAGTGTATTGTTCCTTGGTGTCCTCATTATTTAAAGTTAAAACGAAATTATTGTTTGCTTAGGAGTTTATTAACAATGAAATGAAAAGTCTTCATGAACATCTTGAAACAGTCAGGTAGCAAAAAAAAATCAATTTCGCAATTTCAGGTTCCAAAACTAACTTTTGGGTAATTTATAACAATGAGGGTTAGACGTAGGCCAAATCTGCAAAGTTACCTTTTCCAAGAGTACATATATCTTGAACAAAACTACATTTGCATACATCTATAAAAAATGACTAAAACTATATGTTGAAACAAAAATGTCGACTTAAAACTAATATTAAGTTGTGAAAATTAATTTCTTTTTTATACTTGATTTCATTTTCGAACATATCCCTGTTTTGAAACAATTGCCGCATTTCAGACCATGTCCCGTTACTCAAATTCTAGGGTTTCCAACGCAAGTGAATTTTACTTGCGCGCAATTGCATAATAATTGTGCGCAAATTAATTATTGCGCAATCCGTTTACCAAAATAATCAATGGCATACAATAAACTGAACTTCACTAACACTTCAGTCTCAAAGGCTAAAATGATTGAACTTAATCTTAATCTATTATTTTATAATATTCATTTGCAGCATGATAACCAGAAAACTGTGGCATAGGAAGACGACTTTTAGAGTCAAGCAGACCATTTAACTGAATAAGTGATTTAATAAGTTACTAATTAAAATTTTTTTATTTGTAACGACATCAAATACACTGTAATGTTGTCTTTCTGTATACCACGTCGCAAAATATCGATCTAATTTTGATTAAACGAACCTTACAATTTTAACCAAAAAAATTTCCAATTTTATGTTCATCCAATGTGAACAAATGCAAAATTTATCATATTTAATTATTAATTAGTAGCTGAACAACAAGAAACTTGAAAAATTTGAAAACTGTTGAAACAAGTAATTTTAAAAAAATCTACAGAGATATTTCCATTCTTGTATCTGCTGCATAAATTTCTAAGTCATAGTTAAGATTTTTGTTTTTTAAAAGAAAAAGCAATTCAGTTGCACGAAATTCCGCACAATTCCGCGTACATTTAATTGCTTCCCTGGGTCGCAATTTTAGCGCAATTCCACGCAACAGAATTTCGATTGGAAACCCTATCATATCTATGTCAAATTTCAAGCATTTATTGATAAGGTAAAATATGAACAAAATAAAAAAAATAATATGTTCTTTTATAATTAAAAAACCATCATACCATTGAGAAATCAAAATATTAATATAATATTGTGCATGATATTGATTTACTTAGAAATGAGGGAAATTGTTAATTTAATATGTGGGAAATTAAATCAACTTTATTCTCTTATTTAACAAATAAAATGGGAAAAATAAGATTTTAAAAATCGTTTAGCAGTTAATTTAGTCTTTATAAGATACATTTTACTTTGAGTGATTTATTTTGTAAGTTATAAAAGTCAGCTTTGACCTGAATAGCGGATTTTACTCAAAACGGGAAAGTGTTTTTTTTTCTCAAAACATGACAATGATTCAAATTAAGGATATGTTCGAAAATGGAAAACCTGACATATATGCATTGTCTTGAAAACGGCCAAGGATTTTAATATAAAAAGAACTCCTTTTATAATTTTTTGATTTCAGACAATAATTTAAAATTGATAACTGTTGTTCTCGTCATGCTTAACAAAATGTTTTAGTTTTTACTATAGCCTTTACTCTGGATATGGGCCGGGATCCTGAAAACCTAGTCCTTAAATTTGTGTCCATTTCTAACACTCAGTGTTAGAAATGGGCCTAGAGTTAGCTTTGGAAACAATGTGTCATTAATGTGTCATTATGTGAATGTGTCATTATTATTATTAATGTGAATGTGTCATTATCATTAAAAACAAGCTAAAAAATTTTCATCTCCAGCGCAATTTTTAAAATATTTTGTTAACTTACTGAAAAACTTTTGCAGATAAACTAAAAGGAAAAAACAACAATAAACTTTATTTAAAATCTTTAACATACGTCGCAATAGGATAACACTAAAATCAAACCGTATGAAATTAATTATTTTATATAGATTTATTCAGATCAATCGATTTATTTATTATTTGTTGATGATCGATTGATAATTGATCAATTTCAATTTCTAGGCTTCGATGTAGGAACTGGCGAGAAAGGAATCCAGCCGGGAATTCACATCTCGTTAATATTATGTAAAATTGTTCATCTTGACAATGATAAGTTAAGTGATTTTATCTAATAATTCAAATCTTACAGCAATGTGAAGGGGAACCGACATAAAAGTCAAGAAAACTATTTTTTTTTAATAAAAAGAAACGATTTAAAAACAATATTTGATAACAACTTTTAAACTTTTTGCCAATGCGTTCAATGCCCAAACATATTTATTGAATTTCTTAAACTATATCAGCTCAGGGTACTTAAAAATATATCAAGTTGTTTAAATCAGGTTCACAAAACTTCTGTTTTAAAAGTTTATGTTTTCTATTTGCTTTGTTTTAAAAATTATAATTTTGTCAAAAATATTATTTTTAAATATAATTTATAAACAGACACATATACATTTACAATATTTTTGAAAACATTATGCAATTATGGCTAGACGGTCAGCTGTGTCTGCATGAAGTTTTTGCAGTGCTAGCTAGCTGAATGTTAGACTTAGCTTAGTCTGTTTGACGTTTTTCAATAAAAGCGTTCAGCTAGCTGTGTCTTCATTAAGTTTATGCAATGTTAGCTTGACGGTCAGCTGTGTCTTTGTGAAGTTTATGCAATGATTACTAGACGGTCAAATGTTTCTGCAATTAGTTTATGCAATAATGGCTAGACAGTTAGCTGTGTCTGTGTGCAGTTTATGCAGTGATGGCTAGAGCGTCAGCTGTATCTGTGTGAAGTTTATGCAATGATGGCTAGACAGTTAGCTGTATCTGCATGCAGTTTATGCATTTTTCTGTTTACTGTCACAAATCAAGAACCAAATTTATAACATGTTAATTAAGCAAATCTGACCCTGTTCCTCCGTCTTCTCCAAACTCAGTCCCACGACGTATCAATTCAGTTCTAATAAATACCACGGTAAACTGCCAGGAAACCAACCTGAAAACAGCTCTGCTATGGCTGGCTTCCTTCCGTTGATAATAAATATTAATCATATAGATATGTAATTTTTATGCACAACCTGTCATATTTTCAACGGAAAAATAAATTATTAGATTTGATTAGATTAGATTAGATCGCTAGACATTTAGCTGTATCTGCATGCAGTTTATGTAATGATGGTAAAGACAGTTTGATTTGTCTGCATGAAGTTTATGCAATAATGGATAGAGTGTCAGATGTGTCTGTGTTAAGTTTATGCAATGATGGCTAGATGGTAAGCTGTGCCTGTGTGAAGTTTATGTATTGATGGCTAGACAGTCAGCTGTGTCTGCGTGAAGTTTATACATAGATTGCTGGACGGTTCGCTGTGTCTGCATGAAGTTTATGCAATGATGGGTAGACGGTCAGCTGTATCTACATGGAGTTTACGCAATTATTGCTAGACAGTCAGCTGTGTCTGCATGAAATTTACGCAATGATAGCTAGACAGTGAGCTGTGTCTGCATGAAGTTTACGCAATTATAGCTATATGGTCAGCTGTGTCTGCATGAAGTTTACACAATTATAGCTAGACAGTCAGTTGTGTCTGCATGAAGTTTACGCAATTTCTAGACGGTTAGCAGTGTCTGCATGAAGTTTACGCAATTATAGCTAGACTGTCAGGTGTGTCTGCATGAAGTTTACACAATTATAGCTAGACGGTTGGCTGTGTCTGCATGAAGTTTACGACATTATAGCTAGACTGTCACTGTGTCTGCATGAAGTTTACGCAATTATAGCTAAACTGTCAGCTGTGTCTGCATGAAGTTTATGCCACTCATTAGCCAGGTAGAAGCATGGTTCCTCTATTCCTAAATAGTTCAGGATTAGTTGATTAGAAAACCAACATCAACTTTTGATTTCAGATAAAATTTTATATTTCAACTTATAAAATTCGTTTAACTATTCTGAAGCGGGAAGGGGGGGGGGTGACCCCAGCCCACTAATGGGTTTGACCAATATTAGTCTGAGCCTGTCAAAAAAAAGTAATGTACAACTCATGCCCATCCTTTTAGTTTTTCCTAGTTTTGCACGTTCAAATTCGAAATGAAAATGCTTTAGGGCTTAAAAACAAATTATAGGTCAGGTTGCAGTTTATTCAGAGATAGGGATTAACCAAAGAGAATAGAATATATATTAGAGTGGAATTTATTAGAACTTTTTCCATACTGCAGGTGTACTTCACATATTTATGCTATATAACCTTTTGGGCCCTGGAATATCATTTTATAGAAAATCTCAAATTAATATGAACCAAATTATGAAATAGGCTGGTTTCATAATTGCCCATGATCATCTCACATAGACTCTATGCCTTCCACTTTACAAACGATGATTTTCCGTTATAACTATAAATCAAATGATGTTTTTTATTCACCTAATTCATCATAAAGTTTATTTAACAGCTTTAAAAAATTCGAAATTGAAATGGATAGTTTAGGGAACATACTGTATTAATGTACTCTACTGCATATAATTTGTGAACATTTACATGATTTGTACACTTTGAACTCCCTTTCAGGCTGAAAGGGACTAAAAAAATTCATACCGAGAGATTCTATAAATTCCCCTCTAATATATATTCTATTCTCTTTGGGATGAACATATCTCTTATTTAGGGTATAAATATAAATATTACCTTGATAACTTTTAGCACTGCACTCAAAATAAAGAAGTCCATATCCAGACGCTAACTCGGCTCCAGTCTATAAACAAATTATGTTTTTTTTCAACATGCTGAAATGCTTGCATGGAACTAAAATTAAAGAGACTAATCCTAATTTTCATTGAACCTTCATGCAAAGATTGTAATTCCCGATTTCCTACGGTATCCTTGAAACCTTTATACAAACAATAATGTTAAAGATATTGTTGTTTTTTTATTTTAGGTTTACAAATGTTAATTTTAAACATTCCTTTTTTTCCTGTAAAAGATATTCGCAAGTCCATGTACAGAATCCACAATTGCAAAATTTTGAATCAGGTCATTTAAAATTATGCAATTACATGACCCTTTCAAAGGAATCTTTAGAAAGAAGGTGCGTAAAGCACCCTGTGTTAGAATTTAATGAATTTAAGCCGCGTCTGAAATCCCCAAAAGCCAGTTTCAATTGAGCGCCGGCTTAAATCTTTAATACAATTTTAAGTGGAACCAAGAATATTTGAGCCTTGGCTCAAATTCTTTAAATTCGGACTGTAAATAAAATAATAAATACATAATATGGACATCACCTTGGCTGGTACTTGTCTTCTCTCTGTTAGGTCTATTTTATTTGCAAGCACTACACCGGATAGAGATTTGTCTATACATATATTTATTTAAATATTTAAAAAAAAAAATTATTTTTACACCAAATTATATTAATTTTATATTTATGTGTGAAAATAAATCTTAATAATCTATATATAAATTTGGCTTGTCTGTTTGTCTGTTTGTATCCAATAAACGTCAAAACGGCTGAACCGATCGGGCCCAAATTTTTTGTGGGACATCTAGGGACCCCAGGGAAGGTTTATGAATAATTGAAATTTTAAAAATTTGTGCTTTAAAGGTTTTTAATTTTGTAAAAAAGATTAAATTTTTGAAAATCCGCGAATTTTTTTTTAAAATCCGCAAAATTTTTTTCATCGTTGTTTTGAAATGTGAACAAAAAGAACATGTTCACAATTAAAATAGAAGATGGGCGCGAAGCGCCCTTAAAGCCTAGAAAGAAGGGCGCGAAGCTCCTTGAATTTATAGTAATAATATATTTGTGATGGCGACATTTTTGCAATGAAAAAAATTTCCATATTTTCTAATATTTTGGTATTTAAAATTACCTTTATTAAGTTCCTTGATATGATCAATCAATAGTCGAGCTTTTCCGTAAGTTTCCTATAGACAGACAAATTGTAAAGGGAATAAACCACAGACTGCTTATCTTCTTTCACAGGGTGGGCTACGTAGGCCTAAGTTGACCCGGCAGGACATGCTACGTTTTTACGATAGGTTTTTAGAGTGCCATCTCACGGCCACTTGTTGAACATAATACTAATTCAGGGGTTAAGTTTTGCAATTTTTAAAGAAATACTCCAATTTTAAACATGAAACATTACATTTATGAATTCAGTCTTTTTTTGAAGATTTCGTGTTTTGTATCCAAAGGATCCTTAAATATCCCTTAATACAGATGTTTGCTGATATGTATATATCCAGTTAATTTTCACTTCTCAAGGTTTTACAAGATTCATGACGAAAAGTCTTGAAATATACCTACTAATCTAATCAACAATCTTTGGCGTAAGTCATTTTAATTATTTGCAATAACTTTTATGCATAGATAAAGATAGATTGCGCATAAGACGACATTTTTCATCTTGAAAGATATAAATGTACAGAGATGTTTTAAAGATATTCCTATTATATAGATTAACTAGGTCGGTTGTGAACATTGGCTGTTCTTATGTCATTGAGTACTTGTGGTGTACATGAGTTCTGTAGAGAGAAATTTAAGTTAGTTTAGTCCTTCTCATGTCTTTCTTCAGTTCTCGTCAATATGATATATTGCTCAGTGAAATATTGTTGTTCAAATAGTTCCATTCCCAGAGTTATTTTACACTCTATTATGAAATCCATTAAAACACCAAACCACCCCGCTTATCTTGAAGTACACTTTGACCCCTAGAAGTATGAGTTCGCGGACTGTACAATTCTTGGTGATTATCGCATATAAGCTATCTATGTTTATTTATTTATCTATGCTTTTATGTACCCTTCTGTGCCAATTTTTGGTCAAGGTTCATTCAAGGAAAACATTAAATTGCCAGGATGATTACTGTCCAATACAATAATGGTTCCAGATCACTAGATACCTGTGCGATTGTGTTATTTTTTTTGTGTATTTTGCATTTTTCTATTGCAACAGTCTTAATATGTCTAAAAGTCTCCAGTTTATATTTGTCAGAACAAGGCTGTTTTTGTTATTTTTCATCTCATAAATCTTTACATAGTGAGTAAATTGCATTAAGCAATTTCATTGATAAATTTGAGCATTCGTGCATTTCCTTACATATTTTCAATGTACGTTTGAAAATTCACAATACTGCATTTGAATTTTTTCGATTAATAAAAGTTTGAAGAGAAAAGATATGAAAATACAAAAATAGTAGACCCAATTTGAAACTCTAAAGACCAGGCGTTTTCGATATAAGATGTTTAAGCTGTCGTATAATGCAATAACTGTGTTCATGAAAACATGCCGCATGGATCGAAGACGATATAAAAGTCATCAATGAATTCCCAAGTTTATTGGGACACCCTGTTTGATGATATTATTAAGGAACATATTACCTCTTTTGTGACATCCACAACTACCATTATCATAGAAATATTCTCCCACACTGTCTTCAGTAAATCTACATACATGTCTCTAAATAAAAAGAGAAATATTCTCCCACACTGTCTTCAGTAAATCTACATACATGTCTCTAAATAAAAAGAGAAATATTCTCCCACACTGTCTTCAGTAAATCTACATACATGTCCCTAAATAAAAATAGAAATATTCTCCCACACTGTCTTCAGTAAATCTACATACATGTCTCTAAATAAAAAGAGAAATATTCTCCCACACTGTCTTCAGTAAATCTACATACATGTCTCTAAATAAAAAGAGTTTTAATTTTTGAATGAAAGATGGTTAAATACTAATCTTATGTGCTATTTTCTGTTAATAATTTTAGCTTCTAATTGTTTCTTTTCAAGCCGCCATGTTTCTTTGTTCATCACAAAGCTATAAATTTCGCAGATTTTTCTCTTTACATTGATATTTAATAATTTAAAAATTTAACAGATTTAACAATTTTTGGTTCAGCCATCTTGACGTTTGAATACGAACACACATACTATATGTAAATCTATATAGAGCAGCTCTACTGCATTCTCTTGATCAGGAATATACCTTCCTGATAAATCTATATAGAGCAGCTCTACTGCTTCATTTTGATCAGGAATATAATGAATCTATAAAGAGCAGCTTTACTGCTTCCTCTTGATCAGGAATATAGCTTCCTGATGAATCTATAAAGAGCAGTTCTACTGCTTCCTCTTGAAAAGGGATATACCTTAGTGATAAATCTATAAAAAGCAGTTCTACTGCTTCCTCTTGATCAGGAATATACCTTTCTGATGAATCTATAAAGAGCAGTTCTACTGCATTCTCTTGATAAGGAATATACTTTCGTGATAAATCTATATAGAGCAGTTCTACTGCTTCCTCCAAATCAGGAATACACCTTCCTGATGAATCTATAAAGAGCAGTTCTACTGCATTCTCTTGATCAGGAATATAACTTAGTGATAAATCTATATAGAGCAGTTCTACTGCTTCCTCCAAATCAGGAATATACCTTCCTGATGAATCTATTAAGAGCAGTTCTACTGCTTCCTCTTGATAGGAAATATACCTTAGTGATAAATCTATATAGAGCAGCTCTACTGCTTCCTCTTGATAGGAAATATACCTTAGTGATAAACTTATATAAAGCAGCTTTACTGCATTCTCTTGATAGGAAATATACCTTAGTGATAAATCTATATTGAGCAGCTCTACTGCATTCTCTTGATAGGAAATATACCTTAGTGATAAATCTATATTGAGCAGCTCTACTGCTTCCTCCAGATCAGGAATATACCTTCCTAATGAATCTATGAGTAGCAGTTCTATTGCTTCCTCTTGATTATGAATATACCTTCCTGATGAATCTATTAAGAGCAGATTTACTGCTTCCTCTTGATCAGGAATATACCTTAGTGGTGAATCTATTAAGAGCAGTTCTACTGCTTCCTCTTGATAGGAAATATACCTTCCTGATAAATCTATAAAGAGCAGCTCTACTGCTTCCTCTTGATCAGGAATATACCTTCCTGATGAATCTATAAAACAATTCTACTGCTTCCTCTTGATCAGGAATATACCTTCCTGATGAATCTATAAAGAGCAGTTCTACTGCTTCCTCTTGACCAGGAATATACCTTCCTGATGAATCTATAAAGAGCAGATTTACTGCTTCCTCTTGATCAGGAATATACCTTCCTGATGAATCTATAAAGAGCAGTTCTACTGCTTCCTGTTGATCAGGAATATACCTTCCTGATGAATCTATAAAGAGCAGTTCTACTGCTTCCTCTTGATCAGGAATATTAACTTGTTTTGTACTCAGTTCGCATCCCAGGGTCATACTGTAGTTCTAAACATAAAGATTATTATTAAATACAAAAACAAAAACAAAAACAAAAAAACAAAAAAACGAGAAAAATGCAAATTTTTGAAAATTGATTAGAGATCAGATTTTTTGAGTTTTAATCTTGAACGCATAAACTCGATGTCCAATGCACTTGGGAACTTTGGAAGGAATTGAGTTTTTGCCATAAATTTTTATTTTCTTATCCTAAAGTTGTACAGGATATTTCTTTTAAATCCAACCTTTCATGATAAAACATATCAAAGCATTTTGGAGGAATTTAAGCTTGAAAATCGAAAAGATTAATAGAAATAAGAAAATGTATGATTGAATTTCAACCATTAAAAAATTACAGGATATTTCTTTTAAATCCAACCTTTCATGATAAAACATATCAAAGCATTTTGGAGGAATTTGAAAATACTGACCTTACTGCAAATGATCGTGAATTAATAGTATTTCTTTGGAAACCTTCTTGCAATGACAAATCACATTGTTAAAGTTTTAAAAACCTGTTCAAATGGGAAATGGCCATTAATGGTTGGTTACCCATTGGAAACCCTGATATCAGGGCAATTAATTTACCTTTGGAAACTCCCCAACGGCAAATGGAATAAATTGATTACCATTGGAAACTTTTCCCAAACGGAAAAAGAAAAATAATTTTTTACCGTAAGTAATTATTCCCTCATGGCACATACAATACATTGTTTACCTTTGGAAACTATTCCCAAATGGCAAATAACAATAAATTGTTCACCTTTTGAAACTTTTCCCAAATGCAAAATGCAATAAAGTGATTACCTTTGAATAGACTGTCCCAATGGAAAATTCAAAAGATTGTTTAAGATTTAAACTTTTCCCAAATGTCGAAAGCGATAAATTGTTAACCTATGGAAATTATTCCTCAATGGCTCATGCAATAAATTGTTCACCTTTGGAAACTATTCCCAATAGAAAATGCAATAAATTGTATACATTTGGAAACTTTTCCCAAATGGCAAACGTAATAAATTGTTTACATTTGGAAATTTTTCCCCCAATGGCAAAAGCAATATATTTTTACCTTTGAAAATGTCAAAATGAATAAATTGTTTACAATGGAAATAATTCATTGCACATGCAATATCTCATACCTTTGGAGACTCTTCCCAAACAGCAAATAGCATTAAATTTTACACCATTGAAACTCCCCATTTGTAATTGCAATACATTGTTTATATTTGGAAAGCATGTACCCATGACAAATGCAATAAATGATTTACCTTTGGAAACTCCTTACCCCAATGGTAATTGCAATACATTGATAATACCTTTGGAAATCCTGCCCCCATGGCTATGAATTGTTGAACTATGGAGGTTTTCCCAACCCCCCAGTCCCCTACCACTGCAACCTTTCCCCTAGAAAATCATAAGGTTAAAAAATGCATATTTACAGATACATATTTACATGGTTAGCCACAATGGATCAGATTTTAATGACGACATAAAATTCCTAATTGATAGCGATCTTAAAGTCTATAAATTTGTTCGTTGCCTTAAGTATAGCCTGATAGTAATTTACTCTACGACTTGGAAAATAAAAAAAATAATTTTCAAGTTGCTGGGAATCAACACTGTCACGTAGCCGTAGTACATTTGATTTTCCAAGCCGGGTCAACCTTTCCGGTCCCAGTTTGTACTGTACCTAGCTCTATGGACAGGACTAGCCGGTGCAACAAGGTTGACGCGGTCAGACTTTATTCTTCATATAGGTTGAATCTACTTTTACTAAAGGGGCAGATTTGCGTGATGTAATATCCCAAGTATGGATAAATTCCGTACAGTAATCTCTAAAGTCTCATCCTTTCAGGGTAACCCTGTATGTAGTGTTTAGAAAAGTCAAAGGATGATTTGCAGTCCAAATTGACCAAGAAAATCAATGCCACAAACTTTTATAATTTCTATAATTTCAATATTGGAACCTGACAAGGGTAAACTTTTGATATTAGATGCTTCAAATTTAAATTTTATGATATAACAGAATTAATAGTTTGAAATCTACGACATTGGGTTACAAAGATATAGAGATTCGAAAATCAGAGTTTGTGACAAAGACTGAAATCCTTTTCAAGGTTTTGAAAAGCAGTTAAAAAACTTACAAACGCTAGCTTTAGTAAATGAAGATGAATTAAAAAGGGTTTAAATATTCAATATCTGTTGCATATTTACTATAACAGGGAGATCTCTTGTTGAAATAAAAATACCTCCAAATATATGCTTTTATAACAAACGCTGACTTAAAGATATTTATACCTTAGTATTGTCGATGTCATGGAGATTCCAATGCTATATACAAGTATGCTAAAATATAATTATTTTTCTAGTTATAAACTCTGAATATTATTGTACACTGCTGGTTTGTGTTTGGTATGTGTCTGATAGAGGTGCCTGCTTTCCCTCATCATAGAAAACTCAGGTAGTTATTTTACTCGACAGTAATATTTTACTTTCTCATTTGATTTAAACAAAACTTATAATAAGAGCTATATAAGAGCTATTGAAAAATCTTTAAAAATATTTAATTTCTAATATACAGGGTGTCCCATGAAACATGACAGTAGCAAGACGTCTTTGATCTTTGTAAAATTTGGTGGCATTTATTTGTAAACTTAATCTTAAAATTAAAATTCTGGAGTTAATAATCAGAACATACTCAGCCAGTCTTGGCATTTCCAAAATGGGGTCTGCCTTTTTTTGTGCTTTCAATATTAAAGAATACCTTGAGATTTCGACAGTTTTGGTTTTATTTAATGAAATTGAAATCTGAACGAAATTGATATTTATACCTCCGGTGATATTGAAAGCACAAAAGCAGCAGACCACATTTTGAAATGCCAGGACTAGGTGAATATTGTGGTTATTATTTTAAGAATCATACATGTGAAAGTAGATGTGACGACTGAATGTCACAAATAAACTCAGATTTCAAAGACGACATTTCATTTGTCTTGCAAATGTCATGGTTTGTGTGACCTCCTGAGGTATCAGTTATGGTTGCTTCATTCTCATATTTATACGTGAAATCCATACTAGAGGCGCTACGAGGTTACAAAGTTTTCAGTGCCACCCCATGATGGGATTTTCCCAGTCAATACTGGATTGATCCAAAGTTTATTGTGCAATAATAATGCTTTAAGCATTAACAATTTGAGGAGATTTGTCGAAACTAAAAGGTTACCAACAAAGGTTGCGACTTCAACGTCGGTATTTTGAAAAGACGACCTTAAAGTTGATGGTGGACAATGATACCTGGATTTTAAGAATAAAGACAACTTAAAAAATCCGTACAGTACTAGATCTCTGAAGTCTTATCCTTTGTGGGTAACTCGTAGAACAGGAGAAGGTATGGGAAATATGGAGAAATTATAAATCAAGATTAAAATTTATTAATTCTATATTTGTAAAACTCCGTAAACAGATACTACAGAGTGTCCCAAATAATATTTGATTATCTTCAAGCTTTAACGCCAAAATAAAAGCAATACTCGAAAAACATTGTATTTTTGCAAGACTGCTTTAAAGTCAGCTCTATTAAATTCTTTAAAATTATTCAAATTTCTTGAATTTTCTGATTAGTCCCGAAAATCGTATTTCAGACCCATTGACGATGTAATATGATGTGGGATGTGAAATATTGAGTTGAAACCTTGGACTAAATGTCGTCTTTTAAGTCAGAACTTTTTCAACCAAACTTTTTACAGTTGCAAAAGAAAATTACTTCAATTTGATAGTTTTATCTTCATTTTCCTTATAAACTCCATTTAAGTCCTATTACAGTCGTCGTCATATATATCAATACAGAGAAGACGACTTCTACATCAATTTAGATTTCTACCAATCTTTCAATCAGCAGCGAACCACATAAGCATGTAAACAAGGAGACGTTGTCAATTATATCAGCTTTTCTTTATTTACTGTAAACTTGAAATTTGAAAAATGCTTGTTTTTAAGGACCAAAGCATTAATATTATTGTATTGATATAATCGCCGACCACGGTGTATACTTTTTTTCCTGCTCATCTAAGGACTTTTTAAGGGCGAGATGTGTTCCGTTTCTTCTATTGGAATTCAATTGCGTTTCTGATATAATTCAACAATCTTTAAATCGCAGAATAAAAAACCAGGTGGCCAAATCAAACATTTTATACCTTTGACAGAACGTAAACACCCTCAAGGCGTAGTGCTCACGCTTCAAATTTAGTTAAAAGCTTTAAAATTCGGGATTTATAAATCTTTGCAACCAACTGTCATTTTATTTCAGAAGATAAAACGTTGTTCAGCACTGTTTAATAGCCCGCCTATCCTAAATTATCCAGAACTAGTAAGCTCATTTCATAATAATAAAACTAATTATCACAAAAATTGTATTCAAACCCTAGTAATAACCATTGTTAATTCACATTTAATTTTAGGATTGAAATACATGCATCTATGGATTAGACAGAGGATCAGTGGGAAGCCTAAGAACAATTGCCAATCTGAGAACATCAGTTGCCCGGGACCGTTGCTTGGGAAATAAATACCACTTTCGCTTTCATCAAAGATTTATTTTGATGTTGTTCACTTAAATCCCAATATATAATTCTTCAATTGTCCTCCACATGATTGATTATTTATCTACCATCATACATAGTAGTAGATTGCAGATTGAGGATGGGAGGGAGGGGGGGTATGTAAGCCATCCCCCACGGTGCTTATGGATTTGTTTATGGTTTAAAATGTAGTGTACCACTATCTATGGTTTCCACCATAAATATATCGACAGCTTTGTGAAATTTCAAATTTTAAATCAAAATAGTGGGAGAGAAAGGGGGAGGGCATTTTCTTTGTCTAAGATTTATCAGGGAAAAGAGGGTGGGGGGAATAATTTTTGAAGATTTGGCAAAGCATTAGAAATCAAGAGGCAAGTTTTTTTTGATCAAAAAATTTATTTATTTTTCCAAAAAAATCAGTTATTTTCGCCGATTCCGCGAATTAAACCCTGCAATTTTTTACCTAACTTTTGAAAAAAAATATTTTCGAAAGAGGGGGGAAGAATGATTTTTCGGTGGTAACCGCCAAAAAAGTCCTCAGAAAAAAAGTTTCAGGAAATAAAGTCCTAAAATTTCACACTAAAAAAGTCCTGTGGAAAAAAGTCCTTTTATTAAAAATTCTCCGGAAATAAAGTCCTACCAATTCGAGGCTTTATTTTCTAGGACTTTTTTTCTATGATTTTATACAAAAAAAGTCCTCGGCAAAAAGTCCTCATAACAAGTGAAAATGCATGATTCACAATTCTAGGTTTTTCTTTTCCTCGGATTTATTTTCTTCAGTTCTTTTTTTCCTGGGATCTTATTTCCTGATACTTTATTGGAAGCCCCCATACTATTTTAGAAAAAAAAGTCCCAGGAATCCAAAACACAGGACTTTATTTCCGGTGACATTTTTTCCAAGGACTTGATAAAATTTAGACTTTTTTCCAAAGTTTTTATTTCCAGGTTTTTTTCCAGAAACTTTTTATCCCGGGACTTTCTTACATAGATTCATTTTCAGTAAAATATTCTTTTACTTGCAATGTCTTTTTGCATGTTTTGCGAATTATACATTTAGTTCCGAGAGAAATGTTTTCTAGCATTTGGAAAACAGTGAGGTTAATGCAAAGATCTGTTAATTAGTTAATTATAAAAAACAGGGGAAGGAACCTATAATGAAAGTTGACAAAAACATGTAGACAGTCTTATTGGTTAATTAACCTAGACACACGCAATGTACAGGGTGACATGGTTTATACTACACAGTTATACAGTGTGATAGTATACACTATTGTATACATATACTATACAATACAGGGTGATATAGTATACACTATACAATACATGGTGATACAGTATATACTATACAATACAAGGTGATATAGTATACACTATACAATACAGGGTGATATAGTATACACTATACAATACAGGGTGATATAGTATATACTATACAATACATGGTGATACAGTATATACTATACAATACAAGGTGATATAGTATACACTATACAATACAAGGTGATATAGTATACACTATACAATACAAGGTGATATAGTATACACTATACAATACAAGGTGATATAGTATACACTATACAATACAGGGTGATATAGTATACACTATACAATACAGGGTGATATAGTATGCACTATATAATACTGGGTGATACAGTATACACTATACAATACAGGGTGATACAGTATATACTATACAATACAGGGTGGTCCAGCATATACTATTACAGGGTGTCCCACGTTTTTATTTACACTACATTACACTACTCAATACTGAAATCACGCAACCTCTTGTTGATGTTGTCTGTAAAGAATTAAGATTAAATAAAACTAGATATGAAGAGAAAGGTCAGAAACAGACGTGTAATACACACTGAACTATGGGAAAAGGATATGTGACGACTTTCTGGCACGACTTTGCGCGCGACCTCGTAGCTTCTCTGGTTTGATTGTACGATCAATTATGAGAAATTTATCTGGTAACAAATTAGAAATTTAAAATATGTTTGTTCATCTCGATAGCTATACAAAAAGTAGAATAATGAAAAATAACATAATCTTACGTGAAATATACTTTAGTTTGGCGTGAATGCAAAGTTTTTCTTATAAAACTTCTACCTTAAATTCTGTTATCTAAGTGTCCGAAATCTTTGAACAGGATTTCTCCAATATTTTCCCATATTGCGTGTAAAGGGTTTTTACAGAATGTTGGGAAGCAACTGAAACAACATTCCCGGGGAGGATAAATAAACATAGAAAATACTAGTTTCTGTCCTAGAAATATGTTTATCTGTCTAGTCTGTACATATGTATATATATATATCTATCTGTGTATCTGTTTATCTGTCTAGTCTGTACATATATATATATATATATATCTGTGTATCTGTTTATCTGTCTGGTGTGTACATATGTATATATGTGTCTATCTAGAAATATGTTTATCTGTCTAGTATATATATCTATCTGTGTATCTGTTTATCTGTCTAGTATGTGCATGTGTATATATGTGTCTATCTAGAGATATGTATATCTGTCTAGTCTGCATATATGTATATATGTGTCTATCTAGAGATATGTTTATCTGTCTAGTCTGCATATATGTATATATGTGTCTATCTAGAGATATGTTTATCTGTCTAGTCTGCATATATGTATATATGTGTCTATCTAGAGATATGTTTATCTGTCTAGTCTGTACATATGTATATATGTGTCTATCTAGAGATATGTTTATCTGTCTAGTCTATCCATATGTATATATATGTTTATCTGTCGAGTCTATCCATATGTATATATGTCTATCTGTAGATATAATTATCTGTCTAGTCTATTTATATCTATCTGTTTCACCATCTATCTGGTTTATATATATATATATATTTTTGTCTAAATATCTATATCTATCTATTTCACCATCTATTTGGTAAATTTAAATACCTATCTGTCTATATATTTATATCTATCTGTTTCACCATCTATCTGCTCAACTCTAAGTCCCAGAACGACCTGAATGATATCAATCAATCTATTTATCCCATTATACCAATCTTTCATAAATATCCCCCCCTGGCGTATCCCCTCCCTCGTTTCCCCGCCCTCGCGGCCTTCCGTAGCCCCTCGAACCCCCTCCTTTCTTCCCCCCTTTCTCCACAACCCTTTCAATAATATAAATGACAGATGCTTTTGTTATTATTATTAGAGCGTGTAACTGTTGACAAAAATAATACCCCCCTTCCTACTTACCTTACAAATCTACAAACTTTAATTCTACTCCCCCACTTACCCTCTTTTTATAACTTGCAACCCCCTAGCAACCATCTTTCTCCCTTTCTACCTTCTATCTACCTTGTAACCATCTCTCTTCCTTCTCTACCTTCTATTCTACCTTGCAACCATCTTTCTCCCTTCTCTACTATTCTACCTTGCAACCATCTTTCTCCCTTCTCTACCTTCTATTCTACCTTGTAACTATCCCTCTTCCTTCTCTACCTTCTATTCTACCTTGCAACCATCTTTCTCCCTTCTCTACCTTCTATTCTACCTTGCAACCATCTCTCTCCCTTCTCTACCTTCTATTCTACCTTGCAACCATCTTTTTCCCATCTCTACCTTCTATTCTACCTTGTAACTATCCCTCTTCCTTCTCTACCTTCTATTCTACCTTGCAACCATCTTTCTCCCTTCTCTACCTTCTATTCTACCTTGCAACCATCTCTCTCCCTTCTCTACCTTCTATTCTACCTTGCAACCATCTTTTTCCCATCTCTACCTTCTATTCTACCTTGCAACCATCTTTCTCCCTTCTCTACCTTCTATTCTACCTTGCAACCTCTCCCTTCTCTACCTTCTATTCTACCTTGTAACTATCCCTCTTCTATCTCTACCTTCTATCTACCTTGTAACTATCCCTCTCCCTTCTCTACCTTCTATTCTACCTTGTAACCATCCCTCTCCATTCTCTACCTTATATTCTACCTTGTAACTATCCCTTTCCCTTATCTTCTATTCTACCTTTTCTTCCAGAAAAAAGGGTTTCAAAGAAGGGAGAGTCCTGGGGTTGGGGGGAAGGTAGGTAATATGGAAGGTAGGGGAAGTGAGTTGTATAAACTAAGAGGTATTTGATGGATAGCGTTCATAAACATTCTTATCTGTACTCATCTTTCTCATAAGTTACCCCCTCCCCCACCCCTTTAGTTTCTGTTCCCTGAATCAATTTTAGGACCCTTTTCCTTTTAAATCCCTACAACCCATCATTGGATAACATCTTGTGATAAAAAGGGTTTCAACATTTGAAAAAAGGTTCTATGAACTGCGTCCCATCATTTAAAAGAGAGAGGGGAGGGGGAGGTGAGGTGAGAGGGAGGGGAATGAAGGGGGAGGGGAGGATAGGGAAGGGGTTGCAAGTGGTGTGTTAAAAATTACAATTTTACTTTTGACATTTACATGAATTGCACGCTTGTTTTGTTTACACTTTGTACAACGATATCTCAGATGAACATCAACAATCAAAAAGTCTAAAAAATAAGATCCTCAAGTCTCATTGTAATTTAAACTGAAGAGATCCTCCATTTATAAGAGTGATATGTCAAATTCACAATGGTATCCCTCAAGAGCTTTATCGGGAAAAAATTGAATTGTATCCATGATTATTTTCTTTGACAATGTACCACAGAAACAAACATTTTTATCATAAATTATAAACATTATGAATGCAGGAATTTGTGAGAGTCTACCCCTCCCCCAACTCCAACAAGAACGACAAAATATATTAAAGACCAACTGTAAGCGTAATTCTAAGTGGCCTTCCAAGCAAAACTTGACATTACCAAGTATTTTACATTATAAACGGTTAAAGAAAATATATATAAATTAATATTTTTGAAAATTAAAAAACTCTCAAACAAAGAGTTTAACAATTAACCACGTGTTTGTAGATTAATGTGATTAAGTCCCACAAAATTGACCAGTCAAAGGTTTCAAGGGTACCGTTGTAAATCGGTCATTTTTGCATGGAGGGTCACTTGAATTTACATTTACAGTTCCTTTCATGACATTTGATAACAAATGTCTAAAAGTTAATATTAAAATACATTTTTGAGTGTTTGAATTTACAAATGTGAAATCTGATTGTAAAATAAAACAATTTTCATATATTTCAATTTATTCAATTACTAGAAGTCTCACAAAAACCTTCTTTTCAAATTTTATCTTTCTAGTTTCATGAATAGCAAAATACAGGGAGATCTAATAAACATAAAATAATTTACATTTTATTTATTTAGTTTCATGAATAGTAAGATATAAGGAGATCTAATAAATAAATAATATTGACTTTAATCTATCTTTAATCTATCTGTTTACCCCCGAAAAAATTGCCGAAGATTGTTTTAATTTCAAATAATCTTCGATAAAAAAGAGGTGCAGCTCGATTAACAATAGTACCCTTGAAACCTTTACCTGCTCAATAATGTGGAAAACCAAGTAGATTTGAAAATTGTTTAATTCTGATTTGTTCAATTAACTTATTTTTGACGGAATCAATTGTCATAAACACTTTTGTTTGACGAAATCAAACACGCACCCCAGACCCTTCAGTTAAAGTAAATTCAACCTAAAGTCTGTCCGCGTCAACCTTGTTGCACCGGCTAGTCTTATTGAGTGTCTGCTTTATTTTCCCAATGTCCGGGCGATACAGTACAAACTTCTGGACCGAAAAGGTTGACCCGGCTCGGAAATTCAAATTTACTACGGCTGCCCGTGCAAATATCATAAACGTGCGTTTGACGGAATTAACTATCATATACATACGATTGACGGAATTGACTATCATATACGTATGTATGACGGAATTAAATATCATGACGGAATTTGACTATCATATACATATGTTTGACGAGTAAACTCTCATATACGTATGTTTGACCGAATTAAATATCATATACGTATAGAGAAAAGCATGTTCTTCAATGGAAAGACATTATTAAAAATTCACAATCATAGAACTCCTCTATAATATAAGGTATCTGACGTTATGTATAAAATTTAAAAAACAACTAAAAGTTAAGATAGAAATCCGTTATCCATAGTGGTTTCAAATCTAAATACTGTGTCTCCATATATATAATTCCGTAACTTTTTTTATTCCCCAAAATGTTATGGTACTTTCCAAAAGAATTTTTCTCAAGCGGTAACTTCCCAATGGTATTTACCCAAGTGAAAATTTCCCAACTGTGCACTTTCCCAAGCGGCAACTTTCCATGTCTGTCCTAGCCGCTGCCCTCCCCAATTACATCCTGCGGCCGCTTGGCGCCTCAGAAGTCCTAGTACCTAACCTTTGGGGGAGTTGACGCTTGGTAAATTTCACAATTGGGAAATTGCCACTTGCGAAATTGCCACTTGTAAAATTGCAACTTGTGAAAGTACCACTTGGAAAGTCCTCCTTGGGAAAAATGTCTAAGGGAAAATGCCTTAAACCTTCCCCACCCCCTCCTTAAACAAAAAAGGCATGATTTAGTAGCTACCAGTTTTTTATCTTACATTTTTAAATTTTGATTATCTATACTCGATCTTTTTCCTCAAAAAGATGGTTGAGCGAGCGGTTGAGACACAGATAAGACTCTACACAGTATAGAATAATAAATGAAAAATGATTTAAAGGGAGTGTTCGCGAAAAATGAAAGGGGGTACAGGCTAACGGCGAAAAATAAGCGCTTTTGACAGCTACTAATCTTACCTCTATCTGTTCCGTCTTTAAGGAAAAAATAGTTTAAAACGACTCATGCTAAAGAACGTAGCGTCCAAATCTTCAGCTCGTATCGTAAAATAATCAATCTTATTCCAAACAAATCATTCAGATATTACGAACAACAGTCATCAATTTTTTTTCGACGCATTCATATAAAGTGTATATTTCATAATATCTATGATTATGTTTTTGTAAAAATTATATTTCGCTGGCGCGGGATTTTCGAACATTTTTTACCCCTTTCTTTTTCGCGAACACTCCCTTTAAAAAATAAAAAATTTATATCTTTAGATTTTTATACTATTGTTCTAATTTTGTTTCAACCGCTGAAATTACATTTTTTTTTCTAAAACTCTTTTGCCTCCAAGTTTCCAACCGTTAGAAATGCAAGTTTTTACATCACCTTTTTCTCATTTATTCCGCACGATTACACATTTAACTTTTTTTTTTAACTCTAACCTCTTTAAGCAGACATTTTCATAGCAAACAAATATGTAAAAATTTTTAACCCAGTGGTTGAAAGAAATATTTAACTAAAAAGTACGATTTCAGCCTTTTTTCTTTTTTCATTGTCTTTTTCTGCAACACAATAAATTACTATTTATAGGGCAAAAAACTACAAATTGTCATATTTAGTTTTTAGTCGCTTTACAATATCGTCTTTTGCGAGTTAATATGTAGATATGGTGGAGAGAGTTAGAAGACTAATGATATTTGACAAGAAGATTTCACAATGATATGATAATTACTAAAACAAACAAACAATTGCCCGCTATTACATGACAAACAGTAGCATTTCTAAATTTGACGTCTTTTTTCTATGAAACATAAAGAGTGAGTTAAAAAAACGAGATTATCGTTGTTTTACAAAACAATATAAAAATATTTTCAGGTTTTATGTTTTGGGTGGAAAAATTGACCAAATGTCTAAAGAAAAAAATCCGCCAAACTATCGGTACAAATTTTCTCTAAATCTTACCAAATATGGCAAAATGGAAATTTCAATTTATGTTTTAGTGATTCTTTTTCTTTGCTTGATCATTACATTTTTAGTAATATTTTGTCTGAAACATTAACTATGCAAATAAAATTGCATTTTGCATATAGCAATGTCAATCCCAGTATTTTTCCTGACAAATGAAATAATTAAGATTTTCAAGAGATTGTAAAAATTATTTCAATTGACTTCCAAATTTCTTAATGTTGGATTCACAATGGTATTCGTTAAACATATTAATATCTGCAACAAAAAAGTATCTTCCTTTTTTATCTAAAATTTACAATGAAACCAAAATTTAATTTGCGGAAAAAACGACTATTAGTCTCAATTGTACTCTGACTAAGGTACGCACCGATGTGAATCGAACCTGCTGAACTCTTTAAATACATTGTTGCTTGTAGTTCCGTCAACATATTCCTTTAAGAGTTTTATCTTTCAAATAGTTCAATGTCTTTTCAAGCAAGGCTAGTTCTGCCTAGAAAAAACATAGATAACGTGTAGCTTTTATGGCAATTATACAATCTTTAACATTTTGCAATTTATCTTTGCATTTCTTTTATTATTTTTATCTTTATATTAGGCACTGTACTGTAAAGATGTGAAGAGATAGAAATAATTTAGTGTTAAAGGGACTGTAAACGTTATATTAAGTGTATTTTCATCGATGGAGTAGCATGCTATTTAAAGTGTATTTCCATCGATGGAGTAGCATGCAAATTTAAGTGTATTTCCATTGATGGAGTAGCATGCAATTTCAAGTGTATTTCCATCGAAGGAGTAGCATACAATTTTTAATCGATGGAGTAGCGTGCAATTTCAAATGTCTTTCCAAAGATGGAGTAGCATGCAATGTCAAGTGTCCTTCCATCGATGGAGTAGCATGCACTTTCAAGTGTCTTTCCATCGATGGAGTAGCATGCAATTTCAAGTGTTCTTCCATTTCTATTAATAACAGAACTCTTGAAAGATTTGCCTGATCCATGCTTAAGTGTTTGACATCTGTTTATTTTCATTTGTGATTTATCAGCTAAAGTGACTTGCGCATTTATTGCATCCCGAAGCATTGGAGAAATCATCAGAATTAAACACTTGTCAAGCCGGAAAGACGATGTGATCTTCCAGATCAAAGGTTTGGTTCAAGGATACCGTTGTGAATCGGGTATACCACTCAAAATAACGCCAGTACTCATAAATACGATTTTGATGTGAGGTTTTGAATTCATTAAATAACATTTCAATGATTTTTTTCAGATTGATAAAAGGCCTTTTTGTTATAGTAACAGTAAAACATGAATAACATGAGTATATAATTCTTGAATTTACCCAGTGCAGATAAGGTGGTGCACGGTATTGTAGAAATTTATTTGCAAAGTTGCAAATAATCCCTTGCAATAAATATCTAGTGATTATTCCTAGATATATGGGACAAGATAAATCCATAAGATTATTCTCAAATCAATCTGATACTTAGCTCTATAAATTATAGATGTCTAGCTATCTAGCATTATACAGGGTTACCCCAAAGGATCAGACTGCAAACTCTTCAAATAGGACGATCCCAATGTTGAAATAAGTCTTTTGATGGGGTTTTAAATGATTTGACAAAGACAGAAAGAAGTTTAAAGCTGCAGGGGATCGTGAAATTAAGAAAACAGATTCTAACATTGATTTATTGAGAAATATGTTCCTGAACATCTAATTAGTTTACTGTAGAAATTTTGATACATTTTTTCGTCGTTATTTAATAATTTAAAAAAAATCGATTCTCAAAATGTAACTGCACCCAAGGGGAGGATTTTGAACGTCGACTTTGCGCTCAAACTCTGTAATTATACATCATTAAAACGTTTCATATGTCTCAATGAATCCTAATCCTAAAAATTTTCTCCACAACACTTCATTCTCAGTTCAACTACCACCATTCATTTATTGAATTATTCACTTAGCAATCTCATGGTTCGATGTGTTTGCCAGTAAAAGCTTGTGTTATCTAAATACAAATTATTAGATTAAAAATCTTGAAAAGTTTAAAAACTAATTACTGCATTTAGTCACTTTAAATTATGATAACGTCGCAGGGAATTTATCTTTGCAATCTGCTAGTTAGTAAAGCTGTATATGTATTTCTTCTAATCTGATTTTTTATTCTGTTTATCTGCCTTCCTCCTTTTAGGTTTTCTATATTTCTAATTCCTTCTGTTTTAAGATGTTCCGGCTATTTATATCTTTAAGTCTAACTGCTTAACTCTACGTTAATTTATCAATAATTCTTTACTTAATACCTAGCTTGAAAACCCTGCGTCGCCCAATATGTAGGCATATAAACTAGTCTTGCCGTTTACGATTTTAGTTATTTTTTCTGATAAAAGTCGACCCACTCCACTCAATATATAATCATTTATCATTACTTTTCTTCTGCAAGATATCTGTTAGTTTGTAAAGTTGTATAGTGTGTCACGCACCTCGGACCTTTTAGTAAAAGTAAATTCAACCTAAAGTCTGACCGCGTCAACCTTGTTGCACCGGCTAGTACAAACTGGGACCGGAAAGGTTGACCCGGCTCGTAAATTCAAATGTACTACGGCTGCCCGCGGTATATGCATTCGCTCGTGCTGTCCTGTCTGGACTAACCAATAAAAAGTGAACAAATCACGTTATATGCAACAAAAATGTAGCTTGGCAAAATCTATGTGTGTTATCTGCCTTCATTTCTATATTTTATACGCCTTCGTTTCTGTTTATCTGTGTGTAAGATTCCAAATGTATATCTGTGTTAATTGCATGATTTATCTGTATTTCTTTCTTTCTGTCCATGTCTACATTTTTCATATTTTCATTCCCTATCTTTCCGTCCATCATTAAAATCAATTGAGATGTTTAGCTATCAATTTCTACTTGTTCATCTATCTTTCTATTTATCTATCTATCTATCTATCATTCTATCCATCTATCTATCTATCTATCTATCTCAATGTCTATGTATTTATCTCTCTGCTTATGTATCTATCTATCTGTCTATGTATTTATCTACCTGTCTATGTATTTATCTAACTGCCTATGTATTTATCTACTTGTCTATATATCCATATATCTGCTATGTATATATCTAACTGTCTATGTATCTATCTAACTGTCTATCTATTTATCTATCTGTCTATGTATTTATCTATATGTCTATATATCCATATATCTGACTATGTATCTATCTAACTGTCTATGTATTTATCTAATTGCTATGTATTTATTTATCTGTCGATGTATTTATTAAACTGTCTATGTATTCATCTAATTGTCTATGTTTCTATATATCTGTTTATGTATCTATCTAACTGACTATGTATCTATCTAATTGTCTATGTATCTGTGTGGGGACAACCTGTAAGAAATGAGTTGATCAATCAAATCTAGTAACATGATAATTTTCATTCTCCGTAGACAATTTAAATTACAGGGTGGGAGCTTAGCTGCTCTTAGTGGAGAAAATTTTCAAGTTTTTATATTTTCAGATTATTTTTTTTAATGAGAAAAAAATTGTCCACTTGCATTTTTAATCTTTTTTTAATAAGGATTGATCATTTTAACTGTAGTTTTACTATAAAATAACTTGCAGATTTATGCTGCTGCAGAGACGATGAAAGAAATTGTTAGAATTCTTCAAGTTTCAGAAAACGACAGTTTATTGCTAATTCTTACGTAAAATAAAAAAGTTTAAAAAGTACTGTTGTACATCAGTCATGCTACTTCATTAAATGGATGGTTACTGATTCTAATTTTTAACATTTCTAATCCTTATCTAATCCTATCCATTAGTTTTCATTGGTTTCAACAACATTCGATTCAATAATTATAAACATAAAAAAATAACTGGATAAAAATAAATTGCTAAAGAATCCATGTATATATTTTGATAAGTAAAATTACATAAATTTAATGGTTTTTGGCAAACTATACAATACATATGAGGTTTCAAGATTAGTGTTTGAGTCTTGAAACAGGGTCCTATACTGCAGTTTAGGTAAAAAAACAAACCTTAACATTTTGTTTATAATATCGAACTTGCCGAAAGTATTTCAAAATTACGAACACAAACATTTTGTCATAAATTACGAACATTTTGACAGATATCACTAACATTTTGTGTAAAATTCCGAACATTTTGTTTGAAATTCCGAACATTATGTTAAAAATTACGAATATTTTGTAGAAATTACGAATATTTTGATAAAAAATAACATTCTGATTAAATTTATAAACATTTTGTCTGAAATTCCTAACATTTCGTTTGAAATTACGAACATTTTGTTATAAATTACAAACATTTTTTAGAAATTACGAACATTTTGTTTGAAATTCCGAACACTTTGTAATAAATTACGAACATTTTGCTAGAAATTACGAACATTTTGTTTAAAATTCCGAACAAAACGTTAGTAATATATTAATATGTGAGATATTCCTAAAACGCTTTTAATGATTTGGAACGAAATTATCCTAATTTTGAAATGCTATTGGCAGATTAAATTTTGAACAAAAAGATAGGTGGTCTTCAAACAATGTGGATTATAGATTAGATGCATATCAGTGTCAGTATAAGCATGGCACACTTAAAAGAGTAGAATAAAACAGTCGTTGCCCTGTTCTGGGGAATTCCACTGCGTCTGACAGATTATAATTAAGTTCTTTGAAACTAATTTTGCAACCTGGCTACGCTGTGAACATTTCGCACTAATTTTAGAAATTTTGCGATTTCTGGCGTTTTACAAAATTCAGACTTGCAGTAAACATTAAAGATTGAAACTTTAGTTCATAGATTTGAAAATTAAAGTTTGAGAAAAAAATATTGAATTGCATTTTAAAGACGGGATTTTAATCCAACAAAATGGAAACTTGGTTGACAATGGAGTCAAAATTATCTTTTTTCTAATTGATGAATTGTTTAAATAAAAACCAACAAAGTGAAACCTGAGTACACTTGAGTTTGTCGTTAAATCTTTTGACCGCGTCTGTTTAAAATGAAGAATGGGGGGGGGGTGCAATTAGGGTTGAGAACTGGCCTAAAAGAGGGGGAGGGGTAGATAAAAAGGTTTAGAAGTGACAGTGTCTTGTTCACATTTTGTATTATATACTTGCTAAGCTTTATACCTGAGGCAACGTATTAGCTGGGTTTGTTTAATATAATCTGCTAGAGGGGAAATTTAAAGGTAAGAAAATAAAGGAAGGAAAGGATAAAAATCGTTCATAAGTTCTTTAACCCCCTTATATCCCCCTAATTTATAAATGTTTAAAATGGGGCCCTGATAATTTTGCTGATGTTGTTCTGCCCGGGGAGGAGGAGGAGGAGTATAAGATGTAGTTAACAAACTTCAGAAAGTATGGAGTCATTACATGTTAGGTATATATATATATATATATATTATATAAATATAGTCTACTAGTCTACTAGTCTACAAGTCTACAAGTCTACCAGTCTACCAGTCTAACAGTTTACTATAGTCTAGTCTTTAATATTAATCCCTAATAGAAAATTAGTCTTCCAGTCTACTAGTCCACTAGAGTACTCGACTACTAGTCTACATTCTTCTAGTCTAATAGACTACTAATCTACTAGTCTGATAGTCTGATAGTCTACTAGTCTACTAGTCTACTAGTCTACTAGTCTTCTAAACTACAGGTCTACTAGTCTACTAGACTACTAGTCTAAGTAAAGCCACTTTTTCTACAGCATGTTTTAAGCTTTTTTGTTGTTGTAAAATTGTCAAAAAAAGAGACTTTACGTTGAAACTCCATTAACCTTATGAACGAGTTGTGATCGGGGAGGGGAGAAGGGAATAGAGGGGAGGGGAGAAGGGAGGAGAGGGGAGGGGAAAAGGGAGGAGAGGGGAGGGGGGTTATTTTGAATATTGAGAAGTTCAGGTACTTTTACTTTTAACAACAAACTCTTTTAATTTCTATTTTTTTTAAATTGTTTTATTTGTCTTTTGCAGTCCGAGTATAGATGGGGGAATACTATGAACATTATACATAATTTAGGTTTATATCATACATATATAGTGCAGCCACTTTCCTGCAAGCTAATTTTATATATTTTTACACAGTCTGACTGAGGAGCGGGGACCGGGAAAATGTTTTTTTTTTATTCTTAGCCGAAAACGTCACGCTTTCGGCCACATCGACGAACATTCTCCACATCCTTTTTGTACTTTCGGCCGTCAGAACAGACAAACCTAAAACATAGCAGTTTTTATTTATCTTAATGTAAATATTCGATTTTCACTATTCTATGTTCTATGTTCATTTGGTTCCAGCCATTTATGTATTTTGTTGTATGTGTATGTTGTATGTTTTATGTTCTATGTTCCAAGTTCTATGTTCTATGTTCTATGTTCTATGTTCTATGTTCTATGTTCTATGTTCTATATTCTATACCTAACACTTCTTGTTCTTGATTTGGTTGCGCCACAAGAATCACTTCCAACACAATTTGACATCTTGTAAGGTTTGGCGGACCTGAAAAAAAAAACAATTTTAAAGTTTATTAAAATTTTTGCAAGATCTGACAGTTTGAGTTAATTTAGATTAATCTGTAAATTAACTCAAACATTTTTTATAAATTAGATGCATAGTTCTAAATTAAGTAAAATGAGTTAAACTTTAAAAAATTATCAGTTACATTTTGCATTAAGTTAATAAATAAATATATCTACATACATACATTTTTCAAAAATTTTTGAATAAAATCTTTTATCAAAAACAGAAGCCCATAAAACAATGGAATAGAATGACAACATTTAATCAATTTTATTAATTGGGTTTGAAAAGTCGATAAGTCACTCGACCCACCCTCCCAAGGTCCCCCCTAAGTTTTGGTCTCTAGTGCCAGGTTATATATTTAATACTGTTATAAATAAATAGTATTTCCATCAGATTAATTTATTAAGTGATATTTTCATATTTATATCCTCAAGAGTCTAACAGTTTTCTGTCTTTTCCACAATTTTCAGGGTCCAACTGTATGTGTCGTTAAAATGTGTAAAATTTCAAAAATTAAAAAAAATGTTTAAAAAAATACCTGCATCCATTAGGTTCGATATAATAATCTCGAAATTTATCTTTGCGACATTTCTTGGAAGTTATTCTTTGTCTCTGACCGGAAGCCGGTGCCGTGCTGCTTGTTCGGGATCGGGATCGGTTTCGGGATTTAGTTCGGGATCGGGATTGCTTTCCTAAACATGAATTTGATATCTCAACAATTTAATTTAAAAGGGAGGGGAGGGGGCTAATATTTTCCTACTAGGTTCTGTAAAAGTTAGGGATATATCGATAATTCCCATATCCACCTAAATATTCACATTCTATACCGACAACAGGAATAGAGATCTTTGCCACAAACTCTGATATTCTTATCTCTCTATATCTTTGCAACCCAATGTCCTAGACCTTAGATATTTCAAATTTTGAACTCTTTTAAATCAAATAACCTAAAATTTAAATATCAATAGATAAAGAATATTAGGATTTTGCCAACTGCTCCTTTAAAACTAAAGGTAAATCCAAGCTCTAAGTATTATATAGCTTTGTAATTGTTAAATCTTAAGCTATAGAAACATGTTCTGTGGATTTTAAAACCAGCCCGGTCTTAAAATTTAATGATCAGTCAATTATTAATTGTAAATTTTCCTTATCTAGCCATATACTCCCTTAATAACCCGGTTTTAAGAAATTGTACTTTACCTAGTACATCGCAGAACTGTCCTGTGTACCCTGTCCTGCAAATACATCTGTACCCGCCACCGTTAGATGGAGCACACTGTCCCTCAGCACATCTAGAGTACAACAAGCATTTTAGAGACAGGGCTAACCTTAAAGGATGAGACTCTAATGCCGACCTGAAACTCTGTAAATATAAGAATCTAAGGATTATATTAAGGTTTAATGCCGACCTGAAACTCTGTAAATACAAGAATCTGAGGATTATATTAGGGTTTAATGACGACCTGAAACTCTGTAAATATAAGAATCTGAGGATTATATTAGGGTTTAATGACGACCTGAAACTCTGTAAATACAAGAATCTGAGGATTATATTAGGGTTTAATGACGACCTGAAACTCTGTAAATATAAGAATCTGAGGATTATATTAGGGTTTAATGACGACCTGAAACTCTGTAAATATAAGAATCTGTGGATAATATTAGGATTTCTTAACAAAAATACAGTCGTCTACTGGAACGTTAATCGATTTGGCAAAGAGAGAAAAAAACTATTTTATATCTGCAGGGGTAACAGGAATATTTTATATCTGCAGGGGTAACAGGAATATTTTATATCTGCAGGGGTAACAGGAATATTTTATATCTGCAGGGGTAACAGGAATTTGTAAAGTCTTCTTTAAAGTCTCATCCTTTGTGGTTTAACAGACGAGGAGCCTTTAACAGACTACATGAAACTCTTAAAATGTGACGATCTGAAAGTCGAATTTCGAATTTACTTAAAAGGTATAAAGGATTTTACAAAGAAACGACAATGTGTAAGTTGTAAGGAAAAGTCTTCATTATTTACCTCAAAAGACAATTTTATATGTAAGATTACAACAAAAGTAAGATGATAGTTTGATAAGCTAATCAATATCAGTGCATTTGTGTAACAAATATGATTTTTGTGTTTTAAATATTTGCTTTTACGCAAAAATTCCATATTTTCCTTTATATCTATATATCTATATAAGTGAACGGTCCCTTTGAATATCTATCTAGAAACCATGTTTTTACTCTATATTCATGTTCCCTAAAAGTATTGAAAAAACAGAACTAAAAACTATGATTTCAATTTATAGTTACTTTCTTTAAAAATATTGAAAAAAGTGAACTGTCCCTCAAAATATCGAACTTGAAACCAAGATTTTTCTTTATATTTAATTTCAATGATTAATAAAAAAAGTCCTATAATATATTATTACATATTATTTATTACATATCGAATTAGAAATCACCTGTTTGAGTCGCAAGGGTTGGCATTGGGTTGTTCATCTTGATAAAGGGAACAACCGGGAGAAACCTAGAGAATAAATATTATCGTTTTGTTTTTCAAAAAAGTGTTTTAAGTTCTCAAGACTAAAACCTACAAAAGAAATGTTGTTAAGAAAGTTGAATAAACTACTCTTGATGAGAAGTTACAGATAAATTCTAGAAATTCTTTTGAAGATTCGTTTTCTACTCTATTCTACCTTATGCCTGCTTTTTGCAGCTTGAAGAAAATCCACAAGTTTGTCGTTAACATAAACCTCTCGTAAACATCCTAAAAAGTACACGTTTTTTAATTACAACTCAAAAATTGGCGATTTAGGTGACACTTAACTTAAAGCATGTATACATTGTACATTGCACATTGTACACTGTACATTGTACATTGCACATTGTACAACACGCACCTCGGCCACTTTCGTAAAAGTAAATTCAACCAATATGAAGCATAAAGTCTGACCGCGTCAACCTTGTTGCACTGGCTAGTCCTGTCCATAGAGCTAGGTACAGTATAAACTCGGACCGGAAAGGTTGACACGGCTCGGAAATTGAAATGTACTACGGCTGCCCGTGACAATGTTCATGCCCAATGTAAAACTAAGGTTGTTGTTCTGTTCTGTTGTTCTCTCTGGTGTATAGATTCTCTAAGTCACTTTTAAAGAGAACTGCAATTAAAAAATAATCAATCTTTATTCTTCAAAACAAGAATAACTCCATCATTTTATCAGTTTTGTGTGCACAACGTCTCAAGGGGCAGTGAATCATACATTTAATTCTTCAAATTGAATGTAACTTTCTAGAAATGAGTATTATTATTTTCTTCAAACCCCTCTAAATTTGCTAACCAAAATACTTCTTTTTCATTCCCCTTTTGTGGCCACTCTCTACTTTTTCCTGCTCTATGACATCTGTCTGGTGAGCACCTCTATTTTTGCTTTCTCTGTGACAGCTTTTTAATTTGATCTGCTTCATAATTCCATGAATAAATTATGTAGATGAATATGTTCACATTAATTTATCTCAGAAAAAACTGAAAAAATGACAAAAATGACAAAAATTAAGAAGGATGGAGGGGGGGAGGGAAGGTCTATGGCAGATTTAGGATTTAAGACGAATTGAAATATTATAAGAGATGAAAGGTTTAAAGGTTTGACTGGTCAGAATTCAACCAACCCTTGATGTTCTCAAAGAAACTTTGATAAAATATGGAAAACCATAGAAATCATTATTTTGGAACCAAGAATTGAAAGCAGAAGAAAGTTCGATAGAAAAATGAAAAACATAGGTAGACAAATAGAGAGTTAGATAGATAAGTTAATCAATGCAAACTAGACTGAAGGAAAAGGTTAATGGAACTACTTTGTGACCTCGTAGCTCCTCTAATGAGAAAAATTTGTCTGACGTGAAATTTACATTAGTTTGACGTGAAATAGATAGATAGAAAGATTGAGGTACGATCGAAATCTTAATCAGGATCAAAAATGAAATAAAACGAGAAATTTAAGAGAAACATATGAAGGCAGAAAATTAGGCATAGTAAAAACGATTAAATTGAATGAATGAATTTCTATAATTTGAAACGAAGTCTCGAATGTTGAATTCTAAGAATCTAGGAGGTTGCAGACCTTTATATTTCATGTTCAGACAGAAAATTACAATGCTTCGAATTGATTTATAACTGTAATTGATTATAGAAATCAATTTAACAGCGGTTTTTAGTATTATGTTTTATACAACACTGGATAAAATAGGACAGTTGGTTAGGAGTCAATGCTCCACGGTAAACTATAAGTCCTGGTTTAGAATGTTATGCGCATTAACTTTAGAAACCATTTTCACCCATTCAATTTTTCTATTTCTATTATATCATATCTTTTTGTTGGGCTGAGTTTTTCCTGCTCTATGAAATCTGGCTGGTGAGCACCTCTATTTTTGCTTTCTCTGTGACAGCTCTTTAATTTGGTCTGCTTCATAATTCCATGAATAACTTGATATAATTATGTAGATGAATGTGTTCACATCAATTCATCTCAGAAAAAACTGCAAAAATTACAAAAATGAGAAAATTGATAAAAATGACAAAAATGACATAATTGACAAAATGACAAAAATGATAAAAATGATAAAAATGACAAAAATGACAAAAATGATAAAATTCTGATTATTTTAAGTAAATAAGTAAATATAGTTTTTATGCTATTTTTGAACGAATTTTGAATGAGGGATTAAAATATTCCAATATAGGCAGGATGCACTTCGTTGTAGTTAGCTTTATGTGGAGGAGAGTCATTCAAAAAGGGCGATGAAAAGCAATGGATGGGTGAGAGTTTGCGGTGAGGTGGGGAATGAGAGAAAACAGATTTAAGGATGGAAAGAATTACACATAAGATGGAGAAAAAGAGAAAGGTCACAGAAAGGCGTGGGGTTGACGGGGAAAGGTTACAGATAGGCGAGAGGTTGACAGGGAAAGGTTGCAGAAAGGCGTGAAGTTGACAAGGCAAGGTTACAGAAAGGCGTGGGGTTGACAGGGAAAGGTTAAACAGAAGGCGTGGGGTTAACAGGGAAAGGTTACAGAAAGGCGAGGGGTTGACAGGGAAAGGTTACAGAAAGACGAGGGGTTGACAGGCTAAGATTACAGAAAGGCGAGGGGTTGACAAGAAAAGTTTACAGAAAGGCGTTGGGTTGACTGGGAAAGGTTACAGAAAGGCGTGGGGTTTACTGGGAAAGGTTACAGAAAGGCGAAGGGTTGACAGGAAAAGGTTACAGAAAGGAGAGGGGGTTACAGGGAAATGTTACAGAAAGGCGAGGAGTTGATAGTGAAAGGTTACAGAAAGGCGTGAAAAGGAAAGGTTACAGAAAGGCGAGGAGTTGATAGGGAAAGGTTACAGAAAGGCGTGAAAAGGAAAGGTTACAGAAAGGCGAGGAGTTGATAGGGAAAGGTTACAGAAAGGCGAGGAGTTGATAGGGAAAGGTTACAGAAAGGCGTGAAAAGGAAAGGTTACAGAAAGGCGAGGGGTTTACAGGGTAAGGAGGGAAAGGATGAAGACAATTAAGGGATAGCTATGGATGATATATAGTAATAAGAAAGGCGAGGGATAGAAAGGAAAAGGGGTACAGAAAGGCGAGGGGTATTAAGGGGAAAGATGAAGCAAAGTAGAAAAGACATGAGGGGGGGGGGAGAACAATGGGTAATAAATGGCGGAAATTATCTGAAACAAGTAAGTTCAGTAAGGTGATTGTTGTTAGGGAGAAAAAATGTTTCACAGAAAAATGGAGTTGGGACAAAACTATAGTGCTGAAAGGGTTAAGGAATATGATACAAAAAGATAAGGGTGTACGAGATAGTGTGTAATGTAAATTCAGAAAAACAAGATAAAAATGTCAAAAATGGGGGGGGGGGTGAAAGCGAAGGATCGTACGTAAAAAGCTTGAGAATAACCACACCGACCAAAATTCCAAATAAGGTGTGTTCAATCATAATATGTCAGCGTAATTCAAGTCGTTAAACATACACAAGACCTGCACATTTTTCTAGCTTTAGATACTAGAGAAATAGACAGAAAAGGCAAAAGTTGTATTAAAATAAAAAAGTATCAATCTATCTTACTTAAATACAATAACATAACGGTAAAGGCTAAATGTTTTTGAACTTTTTTGTAATTTAAATTTATTAAGAAGTACTGGGAAAAAGGTTGAGAAAAAACAATTTATAAAAGATTTTAAAAATTCTATTTCTCTTCTAAAACACAAACATTTGGCTCTAACCCCCCCCCCCCCCCCTCGGACAGATTCTTATATACACCCCTGTCTGCTATATTTATTTCTGTAACCATCTGGTTAAAACTTGGTTATGCAGAGATATTTTTATTTAGAAAATTTCAGTTTTCAAGAAATCTAAAACCACTACAACAGGATTAAAGAACTTTGCAAAAAAAAACTAAATAAATTAACTAACCCAGGATGAAAAATCAAATCTACACTTAAATAAAAAAGGCTAATGATAATAACTGCCTTGGAGGAATTCAGTCTTCTTATATACTAATTTTCTAATCAATATATACATTTCTTGTCGGGGTGGGCGTTTTTTTGTTTGTTTGTGTCCAATAAACGTCAAAACGGCTGAACCGATCTGGACCAAATTTTGTGTGTGACCTCTAATCAGTACGTGAACGATGATTAAGAAGCCCTTTTTTCTAAACCTATCTTTACGATTGATATTTAGATTTTTGAATTTACAATTTTTTTACCCGTTTTGATTTTATGGTATAAGGTCTTTGATGAATTAAGAATTTTAAGATTTAAACTTTTTTAGAGAACTCCCCTCGACCTGCTCCTCCAACTTACCATTGAAACTTGTTGCGTTCCTGAGATGCCAAAGTTTGAGAGCTTTCTCCGCTACCTCGCCCGGCATGCCAGCAACGTACATAGAGTTATGTACAGTTAGATAATCATTCTCTCCTTCGTTCACGATAGATCTAAAAAAACAAAGAAATTGAATTTTTTATAGTTCCTCTATCTTTGCAACACATTGTTGTAGACCTTAAATATTTCAAGCTTTAAATTCTGTTAAATCAAACAAAATATAAGTTAAAAATATCAAGTTGTACACCATCAGGTTGCAAAGATATACGGTTAAGAAAATTTGAGTTTGTGACAAAGGATCAATTTATTTGATCAAGATTCAAAATAATAAAAACAAATGTATTTATTGCATTACAATTTAAAGAAAATATCCTTTAGCAAAGAAATCTAAATTGTGCAAACATATAAAAAATCATACAATGTAAAAAAAATCAAAGTCTATAAAATTTCTCCTTAATCTTAAAATACACAAATTTGTTTCATTATGAAAAATGTAACATCGCCGATTTGACGATTAAGAAAGATTCTAGAATGATTTTCCTTAAAGCTTAGTTTATAGTTAGAAAACTTAATTAACAAAAATTCATTTTTAAATAAAAAATTATTTTGTGCTGCAAAAATATATCTATTTTCAGAATAAAAAATCAATGATGAAAATATTTATATAATTCTTAAACATGACTAAAAACGAATTAATTGATTAATTGATTGAAAGCTATTACAAATTGATTGATTGAAAGCTACCTGGCGAGCCCTCCATCTACCCTCAGTGTAAAGTTCTTCTTGATCGCCAACAACTCAACTTGATGGGACTTTCCGTCAGACAGGATTTCATAGCTAAATGCATCAAGATCAAGAAAGAGATAATGGTCAAGATAGAGATAAAGATTAAGATAGAGGTGAAGATCAAGAAAGAGACAAAGATAAAGATTAAGATAGAGATAACGGTCAAGATAGAGATGAAGATCAAGCTAGAGATAAAGATTAAGATAGAGATAATGATCAAGAAAGATATAAAGATAAAGAAAGATATAAAGATCAAAATAGAGACAAAGCTCAAGATAGAGGTGAAGTTCAAGATAGAACTAAAGATCAAGATAGAGATAAAAATCAAGATAAAGATAAAGATCAAGATAGAGGTAAAGATCAAGATAGAGGGGAAGATCAAGAAAAATTTATTAAAAGTAAGAAATAAAAACCTGAAGTTCGGTAATTGAATTTTCTCACTGAAGATTATTTTAAGTTATATTTCTTTGCCTAAGCTCGTGCTGAACAGATAAAGATTTCCTACCTGAACATCGTGCTGAACAGATAAAGATTTCCTACCTGAACATCGTGCTGAACAGATATAGATTTCCTACCTGAACATTGTACTGAACAGATAAAGATTTCCTACCTGAACGGTGTGCTGACAGGATAAAGATTTCCTACCTGAACGGTGTACTGACAGGATAAAGATTTCCTACCTGAACATTGTACTGACAGGATTATTTCCAACATCATAACTAACTCGGATCCTCCCACGGAATAGTTCAACTGCCAGGTGCTGGTAATCCCCTGGGATAAACATTTATTTCTTCAATATATATTTTCAATATTTGAAAAAAAATTTACTTTCAAAATTTTTAATTAATTTTTTGTCCACTTTTTTATTTTTTATTCAATATTTTTTGTTTTTGTTTTGTTTTAAATATTAGAAGTAATACTTAAGCTGATTTTTTGTGTTTCTGATAAAGCATAGATAAAGATAGTCTTTGAAACATTATATTGTAGATTTTGATAGTTCAAAACATGATTACTATACTTTGTTGTTTGATTTAAACATCAAAAGTTTACATCACCAGGTTGCAAAATTATTGGCACTAGAAAATGGGAATTAGTTTTCTTTAATCTTGCATACCTGCGTAAATAAGAACACCATTTTCTTGTTCAGTAGCAAAAGTAATTGTTACATTCGCTGCAGGAACCTAAAATTTTATGTTTGATAAATATTTATAAAAAGTTGATAAAAATCACAAACCAATGTTTTGTTTGACTGAAGATAGTTTAACCTATCTAATTTGACTTGAATATTTACCTATCCATCTGTGGAATAATATCTCTATAATGACTTCTGATTAAAAAAACCAGTTGCCCGGTAAGACAAAAAGAATACGCTTCTTAATTACAGTGTGTTAAAATTTGTTTAAAACAATCTTTAATCCTTTTAATTTAGATATTTTTCAAGTGTGTTTACCATATGGAGGGGTTCCAGTTCTACGTAGGATGAGTTATGAGTAAAGCTGAGGCTTGTTAAATACTCGCATCTTTTCCCACTGTATCCAGGAGCACACTGAGATACAATCAATCATTCATCCCGCCTTCGTCATTCATAGAGTTATATTAGGTTTAATTATAGATTTATTTATAGTTAGTTCCTGAATTTAAAATCTTTTGTTGCTAAAGAATGAAAATACTTTTGTTTGAATTCGAAATGTTAAAAAAATAAAAATTTATAAAAAAGGCAAAAGGTAATTTAATAGATTTAAATAGATCAATAATTAAAAAAATAAGTTTCCGGATTTATTGGTTGATTGATTAATAGATTGATGCGTTATTTGATTGATTGGGTGGTTGTTTAATTGATTGATTGGGTGGTTAGTTAGTTGACTGAATTGCAATACTGGTTTAAAAACGCGAATACATAAAATTACTGCTTTATTTTCAAATTTTGATCCGATAATTGAAAAACTAATATTTAATTTTGTTAATTGGCTGATTGTTTTTTTTCATTAATTAATTTTGATTGGAAGTGAAAAAATTGATTGATTGATTGATTTCCTTGCACATATAATCACTGGATCCTGGAATATCCATGCAAATACCATGTTTGCAGTCATGCTGAGTACACGGTGAGGTCTGCGGGTACATCTAGAGCACAACAAAGTAATAATAATAATAATAATAATAATAATGATAATAATAGTAAAAAAAATAATAATAATAATAAAAATAATTATTATAATAATTTTTGTATTTTGGATGAACGCTCACATCAAGTTCTTACTTTCTTACATATTCATCTTTTATGGCATAAATCTTTAACTGATGCCGTAAAATGGTGCCATAAATTAGTGCTATAAACCTTTAGTTCTTCACGATATGAATTCTACCACAGAAAATTCTTTCTAAATCTGGTTGCAAAGATGTAGAATTAAGAATAATTTAGTTTGAGGTACGTAATTAGTAATTTGGTTACCTGGGCAACCATTGGTTCAATTTCACAGAACTTTCCAGTAAATTCTGCCGGACACTCACACGTGTACTTGTTAACCCCGTCCACACACGATCCGCCATTTTGACACATGTGGTTCGCACAATCATCCACATTTGTGGTACAGTTTAACCCTGAGAACCCAGACGGACAATCACAAGTATAGTGGGTGAAATGATCTTTACACTTTCCACCATTAGAACATGGATTCCCGTTGACATTACAGAAAGCAATCTTGGTCTGACAGTAGCGGCCCTCATAGCCCGGCTTACAACGACATTCATAGTCGCTGACTTTGTCGATACATGTCGAGTTGTTTTCGCACAGGTTTCCTTCGCAGTCGTTCACATTCACCTCACATCGCATACCTTCAAATCCAGTTTGGCATTCACATCTAAAATATGTAAAGTTAAAAATCTGCATGTCGTCTTTTACAAAGAAACCTATACATTTTCAGTGTATAAAACATGGATATCTAAATCGTGCTTGAACATATACCACTATTTAAATTTAGGGTCAGTAACATTACATCTGTACATTCTTTTTAAAAGTAATTAAAGAAAAAACCTTATCCTTAAAAAGTTTTAAAGTTTTAAAAGTGCAGAAAAGTAATAACGTTTTTATGTATTGAGGGTTGGTGATGTGAAGGTATAACGTTTTTCATCAACTATTCGGGCGTATAGAGATCAAACCAATTTCAGATCCAATATAGTAGGATGAGCCAGGTTNGTAGTTATATATCAAGTATGGATGTTAATGTTTTAAAACGGGATTAAGGGAAGGGTGGAGCCAGCCATTTGTAATAAAATCTGGATAAAAGGTGGAAAAATGTTCTTTTTCTGCAAATAATTATTTGCAAGTTTAATATTCACAACCTTCTAGGTTTTACACAGAAATAAAAGTAAAGAGGATTTTAAAGGGACCGAAGTTGTAATTTCTTAAGAAACTCTCCATTTTATAGAATAGCATGTCCTGTTCATGAAAGTACTTTTAGAGCAAAAAGATTAAGTTTCCCTGTTTAATTCTAAATAAAAATGAGCAGCGAATATATGCAGACATTGTCAGAATTCAACACTTTAAACTACGTTTCCTATGACACGTCAGAGTTGGTGAATAGTTCTGAATGCCTTCATACTACTGTACTAGATATTAAAGACTTTAGCAGCTGGTTTCGTTAAAACAATCTATATCCTCAGATATATTTTTTATAATATTTTTAGTATTCTCTTTCTTATCAAACAAATTAACACTTTATGGAAGAAGACATTTTAAAATATTCACCAACTGCCATGTTTCGCGGGACACCCTGTAGGAACGACGATATCATAATCTTTGTTGTTATTGTTAAGAAACCGGTTTAAAGGGTTACCGCTTATGTATCTGATATACCACTCTAAAAATAGAGGGTCACTTATATTCACTTCTGCAGTTCCTTTAAGAAGTGGTAAGAACAAAACACAAAAGGAAAATATAAAGATTAGTTAAAGTCTAGAAAAAGTGTGGATTATTGTAAACCAAAACTGTTTGATAAATTGGACCAAACTATTGTAGAAGAATGTGACAGGAATAGACAAATCAAACGATCAAAGTAAAACACACAAAAGAAGGAAGGAGTAGACAAATTGACAAATTAAAACACACAAAAGAAGGAAGGAAAAGACAAATCAAACGATCAAAGTAAAACACACAAAAGAAGCAAGGAGTGGACAAATTTGACAAATTAAAACAACAAAAGAAGCAAGAAGTAGACAAATTTGACAAATTAAAACACGCAAAAGAAGCAAGAAGTAGACAATTATTTGACAAAGTATAAAACACACAAAAGATGCAAGAAGTAGACAAATATGACAAATTAAAACACACAAAGAAGCAAGAAGTAGACAAATATGACAAATTAAAACACGCAAAAGAAGCAAAAAGTAGACAATTATTTGACAAAGTATAAAACACACAAAAGAAGCAAGAAGTAGACAAATTGACAAAGTATAAAACACGCAAAAGAAGGAAGAAGTAGACACATTTGACAAATTAAAATACACAAAAGAAGCTTAAGAAGTATACAATTATTTGACAAATTAAATCACACAAAAGAAGCTTAAGAAGTAGACAGTTATTTGACAAATTAAATCACACAAAAGAAGCTTAAGAAGTAGACAATTATTTGACAAATTAAAACACACAAAGAAGCAAGAAGTAGAAAAATTTGACAAATTAAAACACACAAAGAAGCAAGAAGTAGAAAAATTACAAATTAAAANTTATCATTATCATTATCATTATCATTATCATTATCATTATCATTATCATTATCATTATCATTATCATTATCATTATCATTATCATTATCATTATCATTATCATTATCATTATCATTATCATTATCATTATCATTATCATTATCATTATCATTATCATTATCATTATCATTATCATTATCATTATCATTATCATTATCATTATCATTATCATTATCATTATCATTATCATTATCATTATCATTATCATTATCATTATCATTATCATTATCATTATCATTATCATTATCATTATCATTATCATTATCATTATCATTATCATTATCATTATCATTATCATTATCTTTATCATTATCATTATAATAATCATTATCAATTTAAGCATATTTTTTTTTTCATGAATTTAAATTTATTCAAAATTATTTAAAAATAATCAAGAACAAGTTTACATTTCATCTTTTGTTTCTTTTAAACTTATGTTTGTCCGTTTACTATTGGTGTGTGTCTGTGTGAATTTGACCCAAGGGTTTACAAGATCAACCCTGTTCTTCTAATACTAAACTGGGACAAGAACCTGGCCCAAAAACTTATCAAAGGTGTTGAAAATGATTGATATTTTGGCCCGGCAGTGAACAAGGATATATATTCTTCTTTTATTTACTGCATTTTACAACTGCAGAAACGATTGCTGGAAATATAATTTCAAGAAACTGCAGCTAAATGTTTAAAAATATTAAGATAATTAAAGCATGAACACACTTTGAACTCAATATAAGGGGGACGAAGTAAACTTGGATTTGGTACAAATTTATTAATTTGTCACTAGATGCCGTGTCGGTATGGGCACAATTAAAAAAATTAAAATTAAAAAACTAGATGTGTTATACGAGAAATCGTGTCTGCAAGAGTTTTATAAATCTGCCGATTAAAATTGAATTTTTGGTTTGTAATCTAATTAATTTAAATTCGTATTTAAACTTTTTTTGGTAAGGAAAGATACCAAGTATTCTGAATCACCCTGTATAAAGTGTAGAATTCAGGTGTATTCTGAATCACCCTGTATAAAGTGTAGAATTCAAGTGTATTCTGAATCACCCTGTATAAAGTGTAGAATTCAAGTGTATTCTGAGAAAATATAAAGATTTTATCCAAATTTTAATCTAGATTATCCAGATAAACCAAACCAAATATTCGGCTTTAATAAACAGAGTTTAAAGGGTGTTTCAGATAAAAATGTATGTAAAAAGAATGCTAACAAACATTTTTAATTCTGATCTTCATATTGAACATTTTGTTAAAATTCCCGAACAGAGTATTAGGGATATATCTCACATTTTTTAACGAGCATTCGTCTAGGTTTCTTTTAATTCTATGATTTTCACTATTTTAAAATTGTTTTGACGCGGAATGGTCAAAAATTACAATATGACGAATTAGCATCAATACTGATGAGTACAGGGAGAAATAAAAAATAGTGAATTTCGCATCATCTTCTTATTTCTTTTGATGATGAAATGTCGCAACATTTTTAAGAGAAGAAAGAACAAAGACGACCTTCACTTCTCAGTTTTCTAGTTCTCACTGTATTCAGGTGGATTATGAATAATGTTTCACCCTGGCTATCCAAGAGATATTGTTGAGCTCTCAGTTGTATATCCAAGAAATGATAAACTATGGTATAAAACAGTGATAAGGAATAGAGGGAAAAACCAAAGGTTGAATCAACTATTTCAAAACACTCAAGAAAGATGCAAGAACCATATTCATGGTTATAGGTAGGTAGGTAGGTAGGTAGGTAGGTAGGTAGGTAGGTAGGTAGGTAGGTAGGCAGGCAGGTTAGTATGTAGGTAGGTAGGTAGATAGATATGTAGGTAGATAGATCTTATGTTAAATAGACATATACATCAAAGTAGGAATTTGTTGCAAAGTTTTAGAGCTATAGTTTGACTTACCTATACACTGGAACATAGAAGTATGGCTTGTAAGCAACAGTTTATCCTAAACAAAATAAAACTTTTTAAACGTAAAAAAGGAAAAAGATTGCAAAAAATTTAAAATATCACCAAGTATGATTCTCTGCATTAGAAACATGTAATAACAGTAGCTTAATAATATAATTTCTAAAAATTAAGAAAATAAAAATTTGCAATTTCTTAAATAATTATCACCTTCATTTCAGGCGGGCTTGAACACTTTGCAATCCCTGGTTCAATATAATCAGTTTTAACCCATTCACTCAACCACTTCATGTCACAGTCACAGTAAAACGGATTCGACCCAAGCGCTCTGCAAACACAAATATATTTTCCAGTTGGAAGTTTTAATCTGAGATTTACGGTATCATAAAAATATATATATTTATATATATAATCATATTTATTTATATATATATATATTTATACAAATTCAAATCTTTAAATATAAACTTCCAAGAGACAAATGTCTGAAAGACAAATTTCTGGATGATAAATATGAATACAAACTTCTGAAAGTACAGACTCTTGAATGAAAAACTCCTTAAAGAAATGCTCCTGAAAGTACAAACTATTTAATGACAAACTCCTGGAAGTACAAACCCTTTAATGACATTTTCCTATAAGTACAAACCCTTTAAAAAACAAACTCCTAAAATTACAAAATCCTGAAAGTATAACTCCTGAAAGTACAAACTTCTGAAAGTAAAAACTCTTGAAAGTAAAAACTCTTGAAAGGACAAACCCCTGAAAGTACAAACCCTTGAAAGACAAACTCTTGAAATTGCAAACTCCTGAAATAACAAACTCTTAAAATTACAAACTCCTGAAATTACAAACTCTTGAAATTACAAACTCCTGAAATTACAAACTCTTGAAATTAAAATGAATATGAATGAAATTTCACGAAATTACAAATGAATATGTAACATAGAAATAAATATGAATGATATGAATGATATACAATGTTACTTTCAAACGATGAGACTTCATAGACGACTGCACGAATTTTTACTGTCTGTTTCTTTATAAAAATGAATCACAGCATCTGTAAACTTGTTCTTTTTTTGAGCCAGTCATTAAAAGAATTCAAACGTTTATGTCGTCTATTTAGTCTCATCCTTAGTGGAAAACCCCGTAGCTTTTCAATATGTTTTTCCCCTGGATTAGATGTACAAGACATAATTAAACATTTACTGGGTAAATCATTTCAAATCATAATTTAAAATTTGTTTGTATTGAACCAATGAACAGATTGGGAAAAGATCACAAATTATTCCATGAGGTATACTGCAGTATTTTATGTCAAGCTGTCCAACAAAATCTAATGGCCGCCGGGTACAAAGTATGCAGTCACACTGGTTCTACACATCGACTTTAATTTAAAACTTTTCTTAGAATTAATGTCTTTCTGTGCAAAGCTTGGTTCCTTATACAGGGTGTTTCAATACACATGGATAAAGATGACTGATTCAGTTTTAAAAACATTATAGATTAACAGTCTATCTGTAATTTTGTAACATTGTAATAATGTTTTTAAAACAGGTTCCATAATTATATAGTTTAACAGTCTATCTGTAATGTTGTAATTTTGTAATAATGTTTTTAAAACGGTTTTCATAATTATATAGTTTAAATTCTATCTGTAATTTTGTAACATTGTTATAATGTTTTTAAACGGGTTTCATATTTATATAATTTAACAGTCTATCTGTAATTTTGTTACTTTGTAATAATGTTTTTAAACCGGGTTTCATAATTATATAGTTTAACAGTCTATCTGTAATTTTGTAGCATTGTAATAATGTTTTTAAAACGGGTTTCATAATTATATACTTTAACAGTCTATCTGTAATTTTGTAACATTGTAATAATGTTTTTAGAACGGGTTTCCTAATTATATACTTTAACAGTCTATCTGTAATTTTGTAACATTGTAATAATGTTTTTAAAACGGGTTTCATAATTATATATGTAGTTAACAGTCTATCTGTAATTTTGTAACATTGTAATAATGTTTTTAAACCGGGTTTCAGAATTATATAGTTTAACAGTCTATCTGTAATTTTGTAACTCTGTAGTAATGCTTTTAAAACGGGTTTTAGAATTATATAGTTTAACAGTTTATCTGTAATTTTGTAACATTGTAATAATGTTTTTAAAACGGGTTTCAGAATTATTTAGATTAACAGTCTATCTGTAATTTTGTAACATTGTAATAATGTTTTTTAAACGGGTTTTAGAATTATATAGTTTAACAGTCTATCTGTAATTTTGTAACACTGTAATAATGTTTTTAAAACGGGTTTCAGAATTATTTAGATTAACAGTCTATCTGTTCATCTGTAGAGAGGTTTTCCGATTCACAAGGGTACCGTCTCTAAAAGTTTGTCTAATTAAAAATGAATGAGATATCCATGTTTTTAACTTTGAAATTTGATTATTTCCAATTATGGTTTCTTTATAAAAGTGACTTGAGGATTTCTGCAAAAGAAACAATGTAGTAACTAGGGAGGGGGGAGGGGGGGGTGTAATTATATGAATTCATGAACCATAAAGCATAAATTAATTGCTTTGATTAAGTTGACATAATTCAATTGAATTTGAAGATTAATTTCTCATCCAGTGTATTGTTTCGCCCGGTAAAACCCGCTAATTAAACAATATGTAATGCATTAATGTTCTGATGGCGAATTGTGTTTAATTCTAAACAATTCCTGCTGCCTTTCTTATTATATATTTTGTGACTTTGCAGGATTACAGATTCCTCTGTTTTGTGTTTTAACTCAATTTCCTTTCAAGTTTCAATTGCATATTCTAAATTTAAGAGGATTCGAGATAAAACTTTAGGCTTAGATTTTGCATATTTTTTTTTAAGGGGGAATTATTATAATTCAAAATAATAAATTTTTTCTTTTAAAAAACATTTTTTTTAAAACCCTTTTCAGGGTTCAGTCTTTTTCCCGTTTATTAGATAAATAAACTTAAACCAATGGACAAACCAAAGCTGTATACATACAGATATATAAAATATACATACATATATACTTACAGATGAGTTATAGCTGTTGTATCTGTAAATGCTCCCTCTGGTATAACAGATATATCGTTGCCATGAAGAGACAGAATTCTTAAATTCTTGAGACCACCAAAAGCGTGTTCCTAAAATTATATTGTATTTATAAAATGTTCAATGTGAGAACTAATATGATTTGTATATTATCTACTTTTCACAATCTTGAACATTCATCCCGTGCAAAGCATGGGTAAAAAACTCGTAAATATTCAAGGAAAACTCCGGTAATTTATTCACATGTTGTGCACGGTGGCAAAGATACCTGCATATAACGCAGTTTCTTGTTCTTAAATTTACACCTTTTGATTCCCATATCGATGTATTTTGAATACTTTTTTTTATTCAACCCTTCTAGTGATTTTTTATTCGCCATTTTTTAATTTTTTTTGGCCAAGTTAATAGTAAGGCGCAGCTATATCATGTCCGTGCAGGCATGGACATGACCTGGTGCGATAACACAATTTCTAAGATCATACAAAATTGGCTCAAATATATTTCGAATTATATATCTAATTATCTAAATATCTAACAGACGAAATCTAATATTTATATATTTACAGAGTTAACTAGAAAGGATCAGACTTACGAGAAAAACCATGAGCCCTTTAAATGAGAATATAACACTTATGAATAAAAATAGTAAACAACTGCACACTGTCCCAAAGGTTAGATTCTAAGCTATGGAGGCAAATCGGTCAAGGGATTCCCTAGTTATGATCGGATATAGTTACCAATAAACAGACAAACAAAAAGAGAAACACGTTTATATATATAGGTGTCCTGTGGCCGAATTTAAAGAATTTGAGCGGCGGTTTAAATTTAAGCCGCGACTTAAATATGGTTGGTTCCACTTAAAATTTCATCAAATGCTTCAAGATTTAAGCCGGCGCTTAATTTAAACCGGGTTTTGGCGGATTTAAACCGCGGCTCAAATTCTTTAAATTCCATTTCAGAGATCTTAATATGTACCAACTTTACGAAGGTACATAGATTTGTTAAATACAAAGAGAATAGAATATATATATTAGAGGGGAATTTAGAGAATCTCTCGGTATGAAATTTTTCAGTCCCTTTCAGCCTGAAAGGGAGTTCAAAGTGTACAAATCATGTAAATATTCACAAATTATATGCAGTAGAGTACATTATTAATACAGTATGTTCCCTAAACTATCCATTTCAATTTCGAATTTTTTAAAGCTGTTAAATAAACTTTATAATGAATTAGGTGAATAAAAAACATCATTCGATTTATAATTTTAACGGAAAATCATCGTTTGTAAAGTGAAATGCATAGAGCCTATGTGAAATGATCATTGGCAATTATGAAACCAGCCTATTTCATAATTTGGTTCATATTAATTTGAGATTTTCTATAAAATGATATTCCATTCCAGGGCCCAAAAGGTTATATTGCATAAATATGTGAAGTACACATGCAGTATGGAAACAGTACAACAAAATGGCCGTTTTACACTTTTTTCTTGTAAATTCCCCTCTAATATATATTTTATTCTCTTTGGTTAAATATGACTAAATAAGATCTGTACTCTGTCGCCTTGGAAGTCTCATTCTTTGACAATAGCCCTAAAAAGGTTCTTGAAACAAAAAGTTTAAAAATGGAGTCCTTTTTCATGTTTTTTTTTAGTTTTTTCCATGAAGCTTTTTTTTGCAAACAAACATAGGGGCAACGTTGGTTCGAAATGTCATGCATTTTACAACCACTCTACCCCGTCCCCCCCTTCCCTCACACTTTATTTTGTATAGTTATCAGATGGTTAATATGCCAACTAAAAGTATATGAATGACAAGCTAAGTGCTACAACAAATATTTGATTTCTTTGATAAAATAATATGTTTACAATAAATATCTTTTAGATAAGAAAAATGTACACAAGGAATATTAATACCTTGTTTACATCTTGTGTAAACATTGCAGTACATAAACATAAGTCAACAAGTTTATTTTACATTCCTTTAAATAAACGTATTCACGTACTATGTACCGTACAGTAAACATTGCGTGGTGTACACATTGTACACTATCTATAAAAACTGTACCTGTACACACGGTACAATATAATATATGATTAGCTGTACTTTTACATACTGTACACTATATATAATAAACTGTACCTGAACACACTGTACACTATATATAATAAACTGTACATCTACACACTGCAAACTATATATAAACTGTACAACACTAGGTATAATAAACTGTATCTTTACAAACTGTACACTATATATTATTAACTGTACCTTGTTCACACTGTACACTATATATAATAAATTGTACCTGTACACACAGTACACTACATATAATAAATTGTACATGTACACACTGTACACAATATAAAATAAGTTTGTACACACAGTACACTATATATAATAAACTGTATCTGTACAAACTGTACACTATATATATAATGAACTGTACCTGAACGCATTGTAGTTTATTGTATGAAACAATAAGAGTTGCAAGTCTTGAGAGATTTGAGAATACTTGAGGTGGAAGGACGGTAAGAAGATTGTTACTCAGATCTCTAAATTAAGAATATTGTTACTTAAATCTCTAAATTAAGAAGATTGTTACTTAGGTCTCTAAAATAAGTAGATTGTTGCTCAGATCTCTAAATTAAGAAGATTGTTACTCAGATCTCTAAATTAAGAAGATTGTTATTCAGATCTCTAAATTAAGAAGATTGTTACTCAGATCTCTAAAATAAGATAAGAAGATTGTTGCTCAGATCTCTAAAATAAGAAGATTGTTACTCAGATCTCTAAAATAAGAAGATTGTTACTCAGATCTCTAAATTAAGAAGATTGTTACTCAGATCTCTAAATTAAGAAGATTGTTACTTAGATCTCTAAGATAAGAAGATTGTTACTCAGATCTCTAAAATCAGAAGATTGATACTCAGATCTCTAAAATAAGAAGATTGCTACTCAGATCTCTCAAATAAGAAGATTGTTGCTCAGATCTCTAAAATAAGAAGATTGTTACTCAGATCCTTAAAATGAGAAGAGTGTTGCTCAGATCTCTAAATTAAGAAGATTGTTACTCAGATCTCTAAAATAAGAAGATTGTTACTCAGATCTCTAAATTAAGAAGATTGTTGCTCAGATCTCTAAAATAAGAAGATTGTTGCTTAGATCTCTAAATTAAGAAGATTGTTACTCAGATCTCTAGAATAAGATAAGAAGATTGTTGCTCAGATCTCTAAAATAAGAAGATTGTTACTCAGATCTTTAAAATGAGAAGATTGTTGCTCAGATCTTTAAAATAAGAAAATTGTTACTTAGATCTATAAAATAAGAAGATTGTTACTCAAATCTCTAAAAGCTCTAAAATATAAAGAAGTGTCGCAACGCCTTAAGCTTTTATTTTACCGCTCTAACTCACTTTACTTTTGACATGTACATTTAAGCACTATCATGTTAGCTTTGGTTTTAAAGAAGTTATTTGGGAAAATTCTCATCGATTTTTGCTTAAGAGCTTGAGACCACAGTGGGGGCTTTGTTAAAGAGAGCATAAAGGATTTCTAGATCTAAAAATAAATAAATAGATTTACCAACATGAATTTTGCTTTGTCTAATTCAAGAAATGAATTATTGCCAAATTATTTAAATTGGATCCTCTGTGCATAATTTCTAAATTTGCATCTCTACATAATTTATATATCTATCTATTTCCATTTCTATATATCTATCTATTTGTAGATCTTTAGATATATACATCTATCTATTTGGGAATCTATATATTCATTTATCTATCTATTTTTAGTATTATTAGTATCTACTTGTTGGTCTATATATCTAAAAATCTATATATCTTATATAGAATCTATCTATCTATCTATCTATCTATCTATCTATCTATCTATCTATCTATCTATCTATCTATCTATCTATCTATCTATCTATCTATCTATATATCTATCTATCTATGTTTAAAGTTTCTATTTTATAAAACTTTTATTTAATTTCTTTTAAGTCAAGATTAAAGGTTTAAAATGAAAATAATTAATTAATCTAAATTATATTTGTGTAAACATCTAAAAACATTTCTGAATCAGATTTTCAAACGAAACATATAATTTTAATAAACATTAGTGTATACTTTGACCCTGGCGTAGAGATGGACACGTTCGACTTTTTTTTCATTTCGTTCGTTCATCGTTTGTGAACAACACATTCCGTTAGTTTTTTCTTTAATATCTCAAAAATATTGATTCGTTCATATTCAAAATTTTTGTTATTTTTTATCTATTTCATTCGTTTTCTCACTTGGTAAAATCGATCGTTCAGTAAAAAGCGTATTTTTTCATAAATTTGTTCGAAACAGCGAAAAAATTGTTTGTTCAGTAAAAAAGGATCGTTTATTAAAAATTTTGTTTCACAAATCGTTTGTTCAGAAAAAAAACTTTTTTTCAATTGCGTTTGAAGGATTTTAAATCGTATTTTTTTATTTTGTTCGTTTTTTTTCTGAACGACAACGTTTTCACGAAATATTTGGTTCTGTGAAAAAAATGATTCCCATCTCTACCCTTACGTTGACCGTTTTTAGAATAACAACGCGGGGTAAACTTTGAACCTTCGTATGATCGTTGATAAATTAAGGTGATATTCATATTTGTCTTTCTAAAAATTAAATGCCAGGAAATGAAATACAATTTACACCTCATACGGTTCACGACAGTAGTACTTATCTTGAGAAAGGTAAGAATAATGTATCAAAGTAAATCGAACACACTAAAAATGAAGGGTTTCTTGAAAATAATTGTGAAAGGTACTTTTGATTCGGAGATGCTACACTACAAATATGGATGGCCCCTTGAAATCACATTTCCTTTTTAACCCTATCACGATGGGGGGGGGGGGTTGAAAAACCCCCCTCCTGTAATCTATATTAGACAGAAATATCTGTGTATACTATATATATATATATATATGACAAGTAATCTAGATATAATCTACAATATTTTGTTTAGTTTAGTTTTATGAGTTTAGTATCCCTGATGTATTCGCTCTATCAAACTTGTAAGTGTTCATAATACTTTATAGAAACATAACCCGTCCCGTAGTACTATATCACCCCCTCTATATATATGTCATCTCTCCCCCCCTCCCCCTTCCGTCTTTACTTTAATATCCCTCTCCCATCTGTACTTTAATACCCCTTCCGTCTGTACTTTAATTCCCCCCTTTCGTGTGTACTTTAATCCCCCCTCCCCTTTCCGTCTGTACTTAAATCCCCCTCTCCCCCTTCCGTCTGAAATCCCCCTTACCGTCTGAACTTGAAATGGTGTTCTCATACTTGAGCTACAAGATCACAGCGTCTTACCAGTAATTTTTCATATAAAAACTTTATCACAAACTCAGATTTTCTAGTCTCTATTATCGTAAACCTTAGATATTTCAAAGTAGAAAATAGTTAAAGTTTGAAATATCAAAGGATTACACCAGCAGGTTTCGAAGATATATGAATTAGAAAATTTGAGCTTTTGGCAAAGACACGTTTTTTGTTCATTTCATCATTTCATTATTTTGAAGTATACAGAAATAAATATTCTCATTGTGAATAAAATACTTACAGCCTTGTTAAAGATTTCAGATGGTTTAATCTGTTTGTGTCTATATTCTTAATCTCGTTAACATCTAGATACAGCTCAGAGGTCTCACGTGGGATTCCCTATACATATTAGTTTAGAAGATACCCTTACATCGTAATATCGAACTAGCACAATAGCTTTTAGAAATTACGAAGATTTGGTTCCAAATTATTAACAGAACATTATGTACTTCTCCCAATTCTTATATTTCAAATATTCTGTTCGAAAGGAATTGATTCTTTGCCACAAACTCAAACTTTTTAATAATATCTTTGCAACCAAATCGTGTAAACCTTTCATATGTCAAACTTAGCTTATTTGATCTAACACAATTCATAGTTTGAAATATCTAAGGTATACAATATTGGTTGCAAAGATATAGGGATTTAAAAATGTGTGACAAAGACTCAATTCCTTTCAAACGAAATTATGATAAGTTTGCTATTTAAAAAAAACTAGGGCAAGGGGCTAAAAACCAAAGTTCTATTACGGATTTCATGATCTGAGGTCAGAAAATATAAAAGTTTTCTTGTGTTTCTTCATGAAGATTTATTACCTTCGGTACTTCCTGCAGCTTTGCATGACTGCACCGGACAATAGTTCCTGAACAAATACAAATATTTTAAATATATTTATTCTTTAAAGGGACTGTCTGACTAAACATGGTAGTTGAGCTGAGAATACAGTTAGGTAGGATTCATTCCATGCAAATTTTAAGGATTGAATTTGGGCTTTTGCTGAACAAATATGCACCATAGAACTAGAAACGTTCGACAGGTTTCAAATAAATCCTCAAAAATATTTCTCTACACACTGCATTCTCAGCTAACCTATCATGCCAGACACTCCCTTTAATGTAATGTAATGTAATGGATCCTCCACTTTAACATCACCCTTTATACAAAAAGACACTCAAAATTTTATCGAGAACTCTCAACTGTCAATTTTTAGATAGAAAAACAATGATATATATAAAGAATTATGAGACTAATGTGTACACTGTACAGGGATAAATTGTGAATCGGACATGCCAGTATTTAAGGTCGCGTGAAATAACGTCTTTTCAATTACTATTGTACAATGTACATGAATTTAATTATTTTGTACATTGAGGAGGGCGATATCTACTGTACATGAATTTACTTGTTTTGTACATAGAGGAGGGCAATATCTACTGTACATGAAATTTACCTGTACATTTGCACTCTGGAAGGCAATATCTAATGTACATGAGATAACCTGTACTAAGCTTTTAGGGCGTTCTTAGTCCCCTTTCCTGTACATAATTCTAACTTTCAACTGTTGCTCTGAAAGGTGGCCATTTTAATTATTCTCAAAGGTAGTTTACCTGTATATGTATACACTTAAGAAGGTAATACCTTTCGTACATGATTTTTTCTTTTTTATGTACACTAAGGACTAAGGAGGGACACATCTATTATTCATGAATTATTCACCTTTATATGTACACCAGGAGGGTAATATGTACTGTACATGAAATTTATCTGTACATGTGCACTCAGGGGGGCAATATCTACTGTACATGAAATTTACCTGTACATGTGCACTCAGGGGGGCAGTAGTTATCTCCTAAACATCCTCCATCATTATCTCCTAAAACAAAATAAAATAATTTTTGAAAATTTTGAAGAAAAAAACCCAAAAATATGGCAATTCTTAACCTGTTCAAAAAAAAAAGTTATGAAGAAAGTGTACCAAAAAATACAAAGATAAAATTTCGTAATCCAACACTCCCCCCCCACTGGGGCCCCATCCCGCCCCCATCGCTAGTAGAACCTCTTTCCCCATCCCCTATCCTCCTTTTATCCCCTATCCTCCTTTCATCCCCTTTCCTCCTTTCATCTCATGAAATTAAATCTGAGAAAGAAAGATGGAAAGACTCAATTGCTTTAGTGACATTAATATCATTTTATCAACTTATATTGAAGGGACCGAATAGTGTAGAAGGGGGGGGGGGCGCAATAGATTTTGCAAAGGCACTTTTTAATTTGCAATATTAAAAGCTACCCCTCACCCCCTCAGTCATTAAACACAGTTTTTAGAGTCCTCAACACTTAGTTTTTCATTCAAAATAGAGATAAAGCAGTTGGGGAATTTATTAGAGGGAATATAGAGGGTTAGAGGGCGGGGGGGGATTTTCTGAGGAAATGGGGATTTTCAGAATTACAAGAGAACCTAATAGAATTTTAGGAAATATGAAGAAGTAGAAGGAAATTAACATGATTAAATTATAATTTTATTTTGACATTACAGCTGAGAGGGAGAAAATGTGAAGAAAAATATTTAAAAAGAAGAAGAAAAAAATCAGAGTAGAATATGTCACGAAAAAATTAAACCGAAATTTTTGCTCATTCAAGTTTACACGTTGTTATTGGATAAAATCTTCAAAGTTGGATAATAAAGAGATTTTAAAAAAGATTATGACAAAAATTTTGAATTTTTATCACAAATATTTTACAAGTGATTTGATTTTCAATCACAGATTCAACATTTGCTGCAAAATTTAGATGGATGTGAGATGTAATGTGAATCATTTTTAGCAATGCGGAAAGTTACTTTAAAATGTCTCTCTTATAAAGTTACTTTATTCAAGTCCCTGAGCCCAAAACTTAAGCCAGGCTATCATCATGAAACTCAGTATCTGAAACCTGTTTTCACGATTAGGATTAGGCAATTTTTTTTTAAAAATATTATTTTACAGGTTTATTTATTTTAACTTCTTGATTTAAATATACACAAATGTGAAAAACCCAAAAAGGAAACTCGGTAGTTCCGTTCAACGAGACTCTATTCAATACCTGTACATCTGAACTCATGGCTGGCAAGACTATGGATAGGTCTGGTCTTCAGGTGTACCGGGGATACACATCTCGCCCCACTTGTAGTTAATCCTACAGTACATATTTTATTAAAGGGACTGTATGCAAAATTTCAAGAAGCCAATGCAAGATAAACAATGGTACCCTGAAAAGCTTTCTCTGATTAAGTATGAATTAGATAGCCATTTTTTAAATTTTGAAAACAGATTATTTTCAATTCTGGTTCCTCTAATAAAGAGAATGTCGCTTTTCTACTGCAGAAAAACAGAAAAAAAATCAGAGTTTAAAAAATTTTAAACCTAGGATAACGAAACTGCATTATTTGTCAGACATAGGATTTAAGGGTACCGTTGTGAATCGGACATTGCCATCTTTTCATACTTAGGGTTAAAAATAAGCTTACGTCCCTTTAATATCAAGCATCATATATATATATATATATATACACAAACCAGGGGAAGGTTTAAATCCAATCGAAATCTAAAAAACTGCTTAAAAAATATTGATTTAGAAAATTATAAAATAAATTATAAAAAATAAATAAATTATCCCTCAGATTATTGAAACTCATTATGAAACTCATAAAAAAATACCCCCATTATAAAATTTATTTCCAACCTTTTTGTCGGATCCAGTCTGAAAACCAGGCCATATGACAATTACAGTTGAATGGATTAGAAATCAGGTTTAAGGATTCAAGACCGGTCAGCTCATCGAAGGCACCAGGGGTCACACAACTAGATAGATAGATATATAGATTAAAGGATATATAGAGATATAGATTGATTGATAGATAGATAGATAGATAGGTATATAGATAGATAGATAGATAGAAAGAAAGATATAGATATAAAATAAATAGAAACAACGACTATTTTTTGGCTCTTACAAATATTTATGATTTTATTAAAAGTCTCTACCCCCAAGAAAAAATATTTCAGTTGTTCCTTTGGAAAGATTGAAAAATGTGAGTGCACTGTGCTTTAATTTACTGCACAGGGAATTCTAACTAGATAAAACTTAATTCAAGCCGATAAATCATACTGCTTGAATATTAAAGCAAGAATGGATATTGAGTATACACCTTTATTCCTCCCCACACTAAAAATTGTACAACTGGTACAACATGTACTGTTTTTGCATTCAGTTGTACTACCATGTCTAGACTACCTGGTACAGAGTCGAAGATCACAGTGAAACAAAACACTGATTTGAACATATGCAGTACATAGTACATAATCATTTACAGACTAACTGCGACTATGCAGTACATAGTACACTATCATTTACAGACAAACTGCGACTTGCAGTGCATAGTACATTATCATTTACAGACTAAATGCGACTATGCAGGACATAGTACATTATCATTTACAGACTAACTGCGACTATGCAGTACATAGTAAATTATCATTTACAGACTAACTGCGACTATGCAGTACATAGTACATTATCATTTAGAGACTAACTGCGACTATGCAGTACATGGTACATTATCATTTACAGACTAACTGCCACTATACAAGTACAAAAAACCTCCACTACGGGTCTGGTGATGTGATATTGTGAGTAAAGTATCTACTTAATTAAAACACTTTTTTATTACTTGTAAAGTAAATAGTTTTCACGCATTCTCACACAATTCCGCGCAATTCTATTTCGCCCCCCTCTCCCCTTCAAGAATTTTTTTTAGCGCGATTAGAAAATAAAAAGCCAATTGCTTATCAGTTGTACAATGTATAGTGATTAGCGTTTCTATCAATACAATGAAGACGACTTTTCAATTTAAGTTTTGATTTCTAATAAGCCTTGTCAAATCTAAACCTTACAGTATGCATGTACTAAATATTGGGTCACATGATTTTCTGTAAATCTACAGTACATTATTCAATTGAAGTGCGTTTCAAATGAATACGTAGCATGATTAGCTTAAATCATGTGATAAATATAATGACGTACATCTTAATTGCGCTTAATCCAACTGTGCTGTAATACGTAACATGATTGTATTAATCGTGTAATATAGATCACAATGTAGGAATTGTAATTACATCTTTCAGCTTTAACTTGTAACAATTAAACCTCAAATACACTAGTCGATATAGAAACTCCATACTTTTACTGCGAGAGAGTAATCCTTCCCTGTTTTGACAAATAGGTTGAGGATTGCCCCCTTTAATTTGGGATCGATAGTTAAAAGCTTCTGATTGATATCGATAGCTAACAAGATCGCGCCCCGTGGCGTTGATAGATCATGGATCGTATTCCTGTGGATCGTGCCCTTTGATTTACGAGATTGTATCAGTGTGTTGACATTGATAGTAAAGATAGTACATTGTACCTGGATAGATACGTTCCCAGAACTTGCTATGGAGTAGGCATTTACTACATGGATTAAAAGAATCTGTTAATTTACAGCTTCTCTTTGTTTTCTCTTTAATGTGTATCCAAGCTGTATAAAAGCATGGTAGATATCAAAATTGAATTATACTGATAGATACACAGAAAAAAGATATATAGATAGATATAAAGATAGATAAATTGATAGATAGATAGATAGATATAAAAATAAATAGATAGATAGATAGGTATTGAAATGACAATGACTTTTTTGACTCTTTGATTTGACCTGATTCTATTTCCGTACAGTGAGAGTTTGTTTAAGTTGACCAGCCCTCGAAACATTGGTCCGTTCACCTCAACCAATTCATTCTCAGACAGTATTCTAAATAAATATGATTAATTTTAAAACTTTTCATTAAAGGGAATTACTAGATCATATAGTCAACACAGCCATCTGTGAGGCCATTTTGGATTTAAAAACATTGTTCAAAGTAGTATTTCCCGTAAAAAAAAAAGCATCTAATACACGAGTTTCCTGACACTAGATATTGAGCTGGAAAAACAAGGGTATCTCAGTTTTCCTTGATCACTGATCAGACAACGGTTAAAGAGTACCATTGTGAATCGGACCTCTGAAAATGAAGGGCCACTAAAAAAGGTTAGCACAGTCCCTTTAAGTCTGTTAATTTTTAGAAATTAATCATTTTTCAAAAAATTCCATATTTTCAATTTCACCCCCAAATAAAAAACACCAAACGAAGAATATAAAATATATATAAATTTATATTTAAAGCAGAAAACTACAGATGTAGATAAAGATATAATTTTACAACTGTATGAGAGAATATTTTTGAAGAAAGTTTAACTACACGCTCCAGGGTGCTGGAGATCTTATTCATATAGGATATTAATCATAATTTTATATACATTACATAATAATTATTTGCTTGCTTTAATATTTATGATAACATCTGGTTGGAAAATACTATATTAGATCATACTCTCTTAACCTCCAAATGATTTTGATTGTGTTAAATCCTTATTAACCCTATTCCTGCTCCCGAGTTTTATTTTACATGACTTAAAAAGTATTGATCTGAGGCTGTTAACATTTTCTGACTTCTCCTAAATACCCATAGCTCTCCCTTAAGGTCTAAATACCCATAGCTCTCCCTGAAGGTCTAAATACCCATAGCTCTCCCTTCAGGTCTAAAACCGGGCTTTTATACTAACTGCCTGAATGACTTTTTGATCATTTTTAACTTTTAGCTTTTAGGAAAGCATATGCCATAAGGAAACGGATCGCATATGTCTTGAAAAGAATGTGTTGCAAACTATTTGCATACAACCCGTCAAAAGAAAGGAGCTGAGTTTTTGCCACAAACTCTGATTTTCTAATCTCTATATCTTTGTAACCCAATGTCGTAGACCTTAGATATTTCAAAATATTAATACTTAAAGATAAAATAAGCTAAGTTTGAAATATTAAAGGTTTGCACCATCAGGTTGCAAAGATATTGGGATTAGAAGATTTGAGTTTGTGGCAAAAACTCAATACCTTTGCGAATTTTAAGTTTTCTTAATTACACATCAGATTATTTAAAATGTTTAATTTTTTTTGCATATTTTAAATGGCATGGTCAAGGGCGTTTCAAGTATGTATATTTTATCATAATTTTTAACATTTTTTTGCAAACATTTTTACTTCATAACTGGATTTTGCAAAAAAAAATCAATTTTTTTCAAATTTGCTAATTTTTTTGCAGATTCTAAAAGTAAAGCATGAGAGCTTTCCAATGATATTTGTCATTTTTGGAAATCAAACATGGGATTTAGAGAGGGGGGTCAAGACCCCCCCCCCTCCCTTCAAGTACCCCAGCAGGGATAGGGTTAAACCTTGGCTTTCGCCTAAACAACAAAAAATTTACTTTTCTTAAATAATAAAATTGACATACAAATTCTGGCGAATAGCCCATAATTTAAATCAGATGCGTTCTTCATCTAAATTTCATCTAAATTTCATTATAACTCCCTTTAAAGGGACTGTAAGCATAATTTCAAGCGAACCTCTATGCAAAGAGAACAATGTCTGATTTACAACGGTACCTTTAAAACCTTTGTACAATCAAGATGAAGTAGATATCAATGTTTACCATTTTAAAAATTGTTTAGGACTTCTCTAAAAAATAAATTTTTGCATTGCTACTGCAGGAAGACATTTAGAAAATGTCAGAATTAATTACGTAAAAAAACGACAATATCTTCCACATAATGATCAGTTAAAAGTTTAAAGGGAATTGTAGTGAAAAACGGGGTTGCCATCTATGCATTGACAGTCCCTTTAATATTGAATTTATTATGTTCTCCTAAGATAACTAGATAATAAAATGACATCTCTTGACTCAATCAGAGATTGAATCAAGGAATTAAGTTTAGCACGAACATTAGTTTAAGGATCCACCCTCGAAATACTAAGAAATCTCTCAAAATAAGATTACGGGAAAATGATCTTATCTGAAAATATAAAAAATAAAAAGCTTACTAAAAATGACCAAAGGAATTAAGTCTTTGCCCTTTTTATAGAATTATTGACAAGAATCAAACCAAAGGAATCATGATTTTTACCACAAAGTCAAATTTTCTAATCCCTATATCTTTGCAATTCAACGTCGTAGACCTTGGATATTTCAAATTATGAAGCCTGTAAAATATAGAAGGTTTAAATTTTTCTCCTTCTGAATGCAAAGTTTCAGGGATTCGAACATTAAAGTTTGTGGCAAAGACTCATTTTTTAGTAGGCTTCTTTCATTCATGCAAACTTACTTGATAAAATAATTCAGCGTAATAATATACTCCCCATTTTTCAAATTGAAACATCTTACAATTTTTAAATCCATTAATCTAACAAATAAAATTAAAAAGCGGTCTTACTTTAAATTAAGCAAAAAGTTAAAAAAGGTTAAAAAAGGGGTGGTGCAAATACGCTCATATTTGACAAATGCAGAAAAAAATCTAATGAAAAATTAAAAAGCCAAGATATTTTTCAACAGTTGTCTCATTGATACTTTCGGATATCAAAAAGGAATATTAAAAGTTTCATCACTTTTTTTCAACAATGTAATCAATTTTACAATCGGTGTGAAGCATCATCAATTTGTATAAAACGTATAAAAGCACTTACATTTCCTTTATGCTCGCAGCTCCCTCGAATGCTCCTTGTTCAATTTCATCAATTTTGTTCCTCGAGAGATCCAGGGTCTCCAGACTAGGGATCCTAGATTAGAAATCAGGGGTGAATATTTTCTTGAAAAATTACCCCTTTACGTATAGATCTCCACATAAAAGATCAATAAAGATTTTCTAAATATTTAGATTTGTAAGTACAGATCTATCAATATAGATACATAGATCTAAATACAAATCTATCAATGTAGATACATAGATCTTAATTATTTGATCTAGAATTGATAGATCTAAAGGGGATGGTGGAGTTGGCACATTTGATGTAGGGGGGGGACCCCCTTCCCTGTATTTGATAAGAAAACTATTCTACTGGAACATGATAACTTTTTATCCTAGTCTTCAATACTGAAAGGATATTCATAATAGTATACTCAATATACTTATTATTTTATGTTGCATTCTTTTTATTTACTTTTAACTATCTTGATTCAAATATTGTTGAATTGATGATGAAGTTTATTGCCTGGAGATTTCAACGATGTTGCAATAAACGTCATTCTTCATTCATTTGTTTATTGATACTTTAAACCTTTATATAACCTGGCTCTCTGACTTATCCAACCCTCCCTTACTCATCCAACCCTTTCTTTATCCAACTCTCTAAATATTAAACCTTCTTCTAGTCCTATAAGAAACCAGCTCTCTGAACCTTCTTTTACGATCTTGAAACCTCCTGTTTATTGTATTATCCACTCGTCTCCAAACCTTTGAAGAGATCACCTCTGTAAGAAAACGGGCTAATTGTTTCATTATCTACTCAACTCTAGCCCTCAGCTCTGTAGAGATCATCTCTGTAAGAAAACGGGCCAGTTGTAATATTATCTACCCTTCTCTGTAGCCCTCTGTAGAGCCCATCTCTATAAAAACGGACCAATTGTAATATTATCTAACCGTCTCTGTAGCCCTCCGTAGGGAGGGGGGGGGGCGTAAAAATATTTATATGTATTCAGTCAGCGATAGAAGTGAACTTTTAGAAAGAGAAAACATTTCCTGCACTAGAGAGAAATATATCATAAATAAAAAAGGAAATGATTCTGTAATTTTTCATTTAATGGCTGTCGCATTGCAATAATTTTCCTTGCACCATCCCTTTTCTTTTTCTCTTTTAATCAAATCCTTTTTCATCTCCCATCCCTTCTCCATTCCCCTCCCCACAAACAATTTCACCTTCTTCCCACCTTCCGCTCCCCCCTTCCGTCCTGATTCTGCTGTACACTCACAAACCTTTCTTCCATCCGCCCCTTCCCTCCCTTTTAAGCTTTTTTTTTTAAAGAAAGGATGAATAAATGAATAAATAATAGAAAAAATAAATAAATGAATAAATAATAGAAAGGATAAATAAATGAATAAATAATAGAAAGGATAAATAAATGAATAAATAATAGAAAGGACAAATAAATGAATAAATAATAGAAAGGATAAATAAATGAATAAATGATAGAAAGGATAGATAAATGAATAAATAATAGAAAGGATAGATAAATGAATAAATAATAGAAAGGATGAATAAATGAATAAATAATAGAAAGAAGAAATAAATGAATAAATAATAGAAAGGATAGATAAATGAATAAATAATAGAAAGGATAAATAAATGTATAAATAATAGAAAGGATAACCAAATGTATAAATAAAAGAAAGGATAAATAAATGAATAAATAATAGAAAGAATGAATAAATGTATAAATAAAAGAAAGGATAAATAAATGAATAAATAGTAGAAAGGATAGATAAATGAATAAATAATAGAATGGATTGATAAATGAATAAATAATAGAAAGAATGAATAAATAATAGAAAGGATAAATAAATAATAGAAAGGATGAATAAATAATAGAAAGAATGAATAAATAATAGAAAGAATGAATAAATAATAGAAAGAATGAATAAATAATATAAAGAATGAATACATAATTGAAAGGATAAATAAATAATAGAAAGAATAAATAAATAATTGATAGGATAAATAAATAATAGAAAGCATGAATAAATGAATAATAACTAACTTCCACTAACCTATTGAAGAGTCCGAAAGCAGATATTTTCTTGATAAAGTTATCTGCTAGGATTAACCTGAACAAAGTATTGAAAATAAAAACTTTTTCATTAGAAGATTTTCTTGTAAAGAAAAATCAAAGTATTAAAACTAAGTTGATATTTCTACTTTTTTTGTCAAAAAATCAAATATTTCTTTAAAAATATTATATAAAAAAATGTATTTTTATAGGAACTGTTTTATTCATCCTTTATCTGACCAAGTCGAAAGGGTAGTATAGATATGAATCGGATATTCCACCCTGTAATAGTTAGTTAAATATGTACAGTCCCTTTAAATAGAAGCTTGGTTGCTAACACAACCCATGAAAAAACGTTTTAAAACAACAATTTTTTAAACTTTAAACCTTTGTGTGGTTGTTGGAATATTGCTGGGGACATCCTTTAATCCTCGTCCAGAGCAGTCAACAGTCTTCTCTTGACAGTAACAACCTAGACAATTATTCATCCTTTTTATTTATTCATCCTTTCAGTTATTTTTTCGTTGACGTCAATAATTTCAATAATTAATTAATTACTTTATTCATTAATTCATTAATTCATTAATTCATCCTTTCATTAATTTATTAATTCATTCATAAATATATGTAAAGTTGGTATCAATTATTTCAATAGTTTATTGAATATTCAATGAAATATTTATTTACTAAATTAATGAATGAATTAATGAATTAATTATTTTTTTTCAATTGATTTTTTGTTTGGCATTTAGATGCTTTGATAACTTTGATTAGAAAACGGTCTCTGGAATCAATTCAAAAATAATTTTATTTTGTTGAATAAAGTTTACAGCTCGCAGTTAATTTTGAATTTTACAACGCCCAATAACAATAGGGAAGAATGCAGACGAATAAAATGAAAACCAATCCTATATCATTGATTTATATCATAAACACAATGTGAGGGATATTTCACACTTTTTATTTTCCCTAACATTCTTTGCAAGTTTCCGAATTACTTTCAGAATGTTCGATAATACGACAGGCCTCAGATTTGGACACAAAAAAGTTATTTGATCATGAAAAAACAAATTGTGTAAAGGAATTGAGTCTTTGCCACACATTCAGTTTTGTAAAACCTATATCTTTGCAACCTTATGATGTAAACCTTTGATATTTCAAACTTTGTGGCAAAAACTCAATTCCTTTGTGAGTTTTGGAGAAAAAATTACTCTTAAAAGAAATATTTTTGAGAAAAACAACAGGAGATGTATCGTTAAAAATAAAGATAAAACGATCAAATCTGAAGCCCCCCCCCAACAAAAAAAATCATACTTCCAGTCTTGCATTTGTATTTATTAAAAATCTTTTGCTTGAATAAATTTTACTTTGAAATCAATTTTAATATAACATGACTCCCATATAATATTTTTATTATTGTCTTTGGTATCAAACAATTTAACAAATTATGGAAGAAGACATTTAAAACTATTCACCAACTGTCAGGTTTTGTGGGACACCCTGTAGCTACAATTAAATGAGTATGTTGTTTAAGCCCGCCTTTTCAGATATGGTTGTTTTAAGTTAATATTCCAGCTTAGATTTATCATCTGAAAATACACGACCAATACTGCACCATATCGATATTCAAAAAAGTGTTTATTCACAAAATCTATTTGATTTTTTTTTATAATTTGGGGGTGGAAAAATACAAAAAAAAATTGACACCAAAAGAGAACTTTTTTCATTCTTTTTGATATTTTTTTTTAAATCAATAATTTTCTTATTTAATTTTTCTAATTTTCCCATCATTTCCCCCCTTTTCTGTCCTTTTACTACTGCCTATCTATTAACTATTACTACCCCCGGTTGCTAACACAACCCATGAAAAAACGTTTTAAAACAACAATTTTTTAAACTTTAAACCTTTGTGTGGTTGTTGGAATATTGCTGGGGACATCCTTTAATCCTCGTCCAGAGCAGTCAACAGTCTTCTCTTGACAGTAACAACCTAGACAATNTTTATAAACATTAATCTTACCCTTCGGACATTCTTCAGAGTTTGCGCATTCGTCGGATTTCTCCGTTCCGTAACCTACAATATTAGAAAATTATAAGAATTCCATTAAAGGAACTAATATTGTCTAATCCCTACATATAATTGTAACCTAATGGTGTTAACCTTTGATATTTCTATCTTATACTATTATTAGATCTAACATAATTCATAGTTTGAAATATCAAGGGTCTACGACATCGAATTGCAAAGATATAGGAATTTAGATATTCAAAAAATCTAATACAAAATACACTACTTGAAAATAAATAAATTTTACTATGATACTTTTATCAATTTCATAGAATGGTTCTAACTAAATTTCTAACATTTTGAGCATTGTGAAAATGCAGTTTTCAAATTTCCTGAAAATTGCTCCTTTAATTCCATTTCCGGCTTCAGACTTAAATATCCGGTTTGCAAAAACACAGGGATTGGGATTGGATGGAATTCATCATTTTTAGTGTCAGAGAAAAAGTGAAGAGAGACAAAAAACGGGAGAAGAGATAACAGGGTTAACACATAATAGACAGAATACAATAGAGTTGACACAGAATAGACAGAATAAAATAGAGTTGACACAGAAAAGATAAAATACAATAGAGTTGACACAGAATAGACAGAATATAATAGAGTTAACACAGAATAGACAGAATACAATATAGTTACTAAAGAAAAGACAATATACAATAGAGTTGACACAGAATAGACAGAATACAATAGAGTTGACACAGAAAAGACAGAATACAGTAGAGTTGACACAGAATGTACAGAATATAATACAGTTGACACAGAATAGACAGAATACAATACAGTTGACACAGAATAGGCAGAATACAATACAGTTGACATAGAAAAGACATAATACCAGAAAGTTGACACAGAAAAGACATAATACCAGAAAGATGACACAGAAAAGACATAATACCAGAAAGTTGGCACAGAAAAGACATAATACCAGAAAGATGACGCAGTATTGACAAAACACAATAGTAAACACAGAATGTACAGAATACAATAGAGTGGACTTGACAAAGAGTAGACAGAACAAAATATAAGAATAGAAAAAAAGGTAGAAAATTAGAAAAAAACTAAAAAAGAGAAAAAATTAAAAAACGGGACAAAAGTTCAAAACTGAAAAGAAAAGATTTGGATATTACGGAGTAAACCCATTTCAATGCTTCTTTTTTAATATTGTATAACAGATTCATGCTTTGTACATTGGCTTTATAGATTTATACATATGTATGTATATATTCTTACTATTTAGCATAAAGAGAAGATTAAACATGAACTTACAAGACAGGACAGACCATATCAAATAATATTGGTATATTTATATTAGTATAATAATAATAATAATAATTTAGTGAATGATAATTATTTTATTTTAAAGTAATGTTTATTAACTTTTTTTAAATTCTGAAGTTGTCGAACATAAACATAATATTAATTTAAACATGATGTATAAAAACTTGAAGAAAATATAAAATGTTTACATTTTGCAACCTAATCTTCGAATTTGCATTTCTTTATATACGATTTTTGTAAAATCATTATGTTTTAATATCTTAAAGCTCAAAGTTCGTACAAAAGATTGATTTTTGAAAATATATTTTAAAATGATTTAACATTAATATGATCTGCACTCCGTCCAGTATTCAGTAAATTATTTTGTGTTCCGTCCAATATTTCGTAATACGTTCAATATTTGTGTATTCCGTCGTATATTTTTTATTCCGTCCAATATTTTTATATACCGTCCAGTGTTCTGTATTCCGTCCAATATTTTTATATGCCGTCCAGTGTTCTGTATTCCGTCCAGTATTTTGCATTCCGTCCAATATTTTTATATTCCGTCCAATATTTTTATATTCCTCCAGTGCATTTGTGTATTACTATTCCGTCCAGTATTTTTTATTCCGTCCAATATTTTTAAATGCCGTCCAGTGTTCTGTATTCCGTCCAGTATTTTGCATTCCGTCCAATATTTTTATATTCCTCCAGTGCATTTATGTATTCCGTCCAGTATTTTGTATTCCGTCCAGTATTTTGTATTCCGTCCAGTATTTTGTATTCTGTCCAGTATTTTGTATTCCGAAGGGAGGGGGGAGGTTGCGGAACAAAACACATGGGATCAAGGTATTGAGAAGATGTATGAAGAAGGGAACGAAAGAAAAGAGATTAAGAAAGAAAGGTAAAAAAGAAAAAGTAAATGAGGAACGAAAAAAAGAGAAAAAGACCAAGTTTTTAACAGATTTAAAATTGGAAGATTGAACGACTTCATAATAACGATTACAAAGGGGGGAGGGGATTATTTTTACTTTTCCCAGTCTAAAAAATAAATTAAAATAATACATTTGTTGTCATTATATTACATGATGACAACAAATGTTACTGAATTTAAACAGTTTTTCTTGGGAAATTCAGCATTTTTGGAAAACTAGAGCACTTACATTTAAGTTGTGAGATATTAAGAGAAGACATCTTTTTTCTGTTCAGCTTCTTTGGTTCCTCACACCTGACACCAGATGTCTCTACTGGAAACCGGTTCATCCAGTCGACCAACCAGCTTACGCGGCAATCGCACGTGAACGGGTTCCGGGCAAGGTGACTGCAGTAAAAATTTAGGTGTTAGGTACTTTCCCAAAGGCATTTTCCTAAGGGCGACTTCTCAAGTGACAATTTCCCAAGCGACAACTTGGTTTGGTTAGGCCCTCTGAGGCTCCGCAGGCTCAATGGGGGCCGAGTCCTGCGGCTAGGACGGGCTAGGGTGCCGAGCGCCGCAGTTATAACAGACGGGGGGTGGCCAAGTAGTTCGGCGGCGGCTGCCGCTTGGGAAATTACACATTTGGGAAGGTGCCACTTGGGAAAATACCCTTGGGAAGTTGCTACTTGAGAAAATCCTTTGGGAAAGAACCATCTAATTTTGGGATTACAAAGACTGTAGACATAATTTTAAGTAACTTTCAAAATTTAAATTTACAACGGTATTCTTTATTAAAGTATGAATGGTATATTTATGCTTTATCTATAGGGTTACAATTACAAATAATAGAATGAAACTTATTCTAATTCCTTGTAGTTAACCATGAATATCTTTGATTTTGGTTTCTGTATAAAAAGTTATTAACGGACTGACAAAATCTTCTTTATTCCTGAGAAAATATACATTTTATATTGATTTTTGGCACATTTGTATAATATATCTAAAACTTAAGGTAAAGTACAGCTAAAGGTGGGTGTAAAAAAAAATAACATTAATTTTTAAATTTAAACTGAGCTTCTTTTCCCATGATTTTTGATTTATATACTTAAAATATTTCAATGCATCTAAAACATCATATAAAAAATTGATAATATAAAATAACAATATTCTTTAGTTCAATGTTCTTTGAGTTACCTCGTTTGGTTTCTAATATATCTCCGGATAACTTTGCCTTTCTCAAAATTGTGTGTAAAAAGGAGTAACCCAGAGGAGCTACGAGGTCACAAAGTAATGTCACTTAAATTTGCCTATGATTGTGAACCTGTATGTAGGGCATGTACGTACATTGTACAAAGAAATGATAGGAAAGGATAGTTAAAGAAAATGTGAGGAAAAGTGGAGAAAGATACTGCTAATCTTAATGACCCTATAAATGTGAATTAGAACGTAGTTCAGAGGGGATTATACAACAAAATAGCCTAAAGGACCTCTTCCCTGGAACCAGTAAAAGTGTTGTTCACATTTTTGGCTCTAATGTTTAGATTCTAAACAGTACATTTCACTTTGCAGAAGTTTTTAAAATTTTAAAAATATTTATGACATCCTTTTCCGTCATTAAACATGAACTTACAAGACAGGACAGACCATATTTTATAAAATCTCAAAATCAAGTGATTATTAAGATTTATTTGATGTTATTTTTTTATTAAATAATAATAAAAGTTTACTAACAGAAGGTTGAGTGAGTCTAGGCCAACGAATGTATCTGCTTGAATGCACTGAATCTTATTTGCATTAATCAACCTAGAGTATTAATAAATATCAATTTTTAGATGTAAAATTACATGCTATTTAATTTACTTATGAAATATTACAATTAGGTAAACAGAGGCCGAATTTAAAGATGAGACGCGACTCAAATATGGTTCGTTCTACTTGAAATTGTATTCAATGTTTCAAGATTTAGGCCAGCACTTAAATAAAACCGGTTTTTGGTGGATTTGAGACGCGGCTCAAGTTCATTAAATTCGGACTCAGCTCAATAAAAAGAATGGGCAAATGATACCTAATCATTTTTTGCTAATGATAGTGAACTACTCTTCACTAAACCGTAAAAAAAACTTTATTTTCCATCTCACTGAAAAGTATAGAACTGCACTGTTTCAAAAAAAATGCTGTTCGGAACTCTAAGAGAAAGGAATTGAGTCTTTGCAACAAATCCCAATTTTCTAATACCTATATATCTACAACCAAATTATGTAAATCTTTGATATTTCAAACTTTGATTGTTTGATATAAAAGAAGTCATAGTTTGAAATATCTAAAGTTTTCAACATTGGGTTATTAAAATATAAGGATTTAAAAATCAGAGTTTGGGGAAAAGACTCAATTCCTTTACACATAAAAAAACTAGATGACAAGTATTTATTACTTTTACTGAAAAATGAATTCTAATTTTAAAATATGCTTAATTTATGAAACAAACTGGCAGTTTCAACACTTAAAATTGACAAATCATTTATGGAGATTTTGGTGAATTAATAATTCTAAAATTATAGACATCCTTAAGTACTTATTTGGATTAAGTAAAAACTATTTTACTAACAAGCTCTAGGGAATACAGTCCACATTTTCAAGTAATATATGTGTCTTGAGATTTGCTGTTTCTGCATTATTGAAAAATATACTAATTTCGTTCCCGGTTTTTTGTCTTTACAATAAAACTTTTTGAAAAAACAAAATCAACATTCTTCAGCTGGAAAATTTTAAAATTATTCAAACCCTTACACAAATACTTTTTCAAGTAATATGTGTGACATTGTTATCAATCTTGACATTTTCTCTCCGGGCATTAATGAAAAGATGCTGATTTTGCTCCATGTTTTTTGTCTTTACAGTTAAAAATGTTGAAAAACCAAAATCAACAATAACAATTTCAAAATGTGCAACCCCCTCCCCAGAAAAAAAATAATATTTGATAAGAATGCATGGTAAAATACTTTAAAAAGTAGAAAACACGTTTTTCAAATTATATGTGTGACAATATTATCTTGTGATTTTCTATCAAAGCATTATTAAAAAAAACACTAATCTCGCTCCCTGTGTTTTCGTCTTTACAATTAAACTTAAACAATCAAAAAAGATAATAATTTTGTTCACGTTTTTTTCGTTTTTACAGTTACACTTTGAAAAAAACGAAACCAACATCATCAAAAAACCATTTTCGAATCTTCTAACCTTAAAAAATATGCTTATGGTGAGAATAATACTTACAAAAGTTGAAGAGAAGCTAAACCATCAAATAGTCTTGAGGGGAGATGGGTGATCTTATTTCCGTACAAAACCCTAAATTATAAAAATAGTTTAAAAATATAATAATCATGGTTTATTGTTTACTGTTAATGGTGTACATAAATCTGTTTTAAATGTAAGTAGATAATGTAACTATAAAATTCACAGTGCGCTATGCAAAGAGTACAATATTAAATGTGTAAAGTGTAATAGTGTAAAGTTTAGATTGTAAAGTGTACAGTATCCTATGCAGTGTACAGTATCGTGAGTAGAGTGTACAGTATCCTATCTAGTGTACAGTATCGTGAGTAGAGTGTACAGTATCCTATGTAGAGTGTACAGTATCCTATGTAGTGTACAGTATCGTTAGTAGAGTGTACAGTATCGTGTGTAAAGTGTAAAGTATCCAGTGTAAAGTGTACAGTATCCTATGAAGTGTACAGTATCCTGTGTAGAGTGTACAGTATCCTATGTAGAGTGTACAGAATCCTATGTAGAGTGAACTTTATCCTATGTAAAATGTACAGTATCCTGTGTAGAATGTACAGTATCCTGTGTAGAATGTACAGTATCCTGTGTAAAATTTACAGTATTCTGTGTGATTTTACAGCATCCTACAGTGAAACCCTTAATAACGAATACATCGAAAGAATTCATCAAATGTCGTATTCTTCACTTTCTGATAATGAAATGTTGCAGATATTTAGTTTTTTAATTAAATGATTATATGGAACTCTTTAAAACTGTTCCCGCATATTCATGGCTATTTATTTATTTTCGCATATATATGTAATATAGTAATATAGTATAAAACTCATTGAAAAATTTTCAAGACGACATTTGATAAGTTCTTCCGATGTATTCGTTATTAAGGGTTTCACTGTATGTAGGTTGAACAGTTTCCTATGTAAAATGTACAGTATCCTGTGTAGAATGTACAGTATCCTGTGTAAAATGTACAGTTTCCTGTGTAGAATGTACAGTATCCTGTGTAAAATGTACAGTATCCTGTGTAGAATGTACAGTATCCTGTGTAAAATGTACAGTATCCTGTGTAGAATGTACAGTATCTTGTGTAGAATTTACAGTATTCTGTGTGAGTGTACAGTATCCTATGTAGAGTGTACACTTGAATACTTACAATGATTTGAGAGATTTAAGATTCCTGAAAGCATCACCAGCAACACTTGAGATTTCGTTGTTACTCAGATCTCTGAATAAGATTAAAACTTGTACAGGGTGTCCCAATAAAACATGAGAATTAAGTTACACATTTACGAATTGTAACACCTGATTTCAAAAGTAATAATCCTATTGGATTACTAAAGACGATCTCACACTTAATTCAGATGTTTATTGGGACACCCTGTAGTGTATATTTACTTCGTTTCATATTATGTTTGGGTGTACGTTTGTTTCTCTGTCTTTTATGTAAAAAAACACAATAAAGCATCTATTTATAATTCATATTTGTGATTATTTCGTATCTAAATTTTTGGTTTTTCTCTTCCAATAAGATATTTGTTTGTCTATATATCCGTTTGTTTCTTTATCCTATATTGACTGTGTATGAATGTCGTTGAGTTTTTACCGGTGGCTGCAGTGCCAGTCATGTCATGTCACATCACTTTCTTTTTACACTTATCATGTTTCTCCTTTTCCATCTGTTATCTCTCGTCTTTTTAATCAAAATTAATATTTCTTTTTCACTTTTTCTCTCCTTTCGTTTATTATCATCTTACTGTCATCTACATATATTTATTAAATTAACCATCTCCTTTTTCTCCTCGTACAATCCCATCTTATCTTCTCTTCATCCCTTATTTTTCTCACACATCATTTTCCCATCCTGTCCCCTCCCCTTTATCATTTTCATCCCTCCCCCTCCATATCCTCCTTGAAATCATCCGTTTGAGCCTGGGATAGCTGGTGAACGCCCTGGCTGGTATCTCTGTTATCTGATTCTGCTCCAACCGTCTAGAATACAGGGAGTACATGGTTAATGGTTTTATATCCCGGCCCACCATATTATTGTCCTGCCTCATTCAGACTTTATTGTCCCGGTCGGTTTTTAGACGGGAAAATAAAGTTGGGTTCAAATTCATAAAAAAATTTTCTGTCATTGGTCAAATCAGAAAGTTTACAAAAGAAGATCAGTTTATCATTACTTTCAAAATTCCCTAGTTTTGTTTAACAGTTTGGAACGGAGATTAACTTTAATATTTGTTTTCTGGAACGGATGCTAAAAATATACATCATTCTGTGACGGAGAGTGGAGAAACTTTATAATAAAAGTAGAAATAAGTTTGATTAAGAAGTTGATTAAGTTTTAAGGCCGACAGATTATTGGGTAATCCAGGCTACTGACTGCCTTCAGGCAAGTGCATTTATCATGCAGGGCCATGAGTAACGGATGCATTTTAATGAAAAGTATTTTCAAGACATTTCGTTAAATTTAACGATTTTTAAGTTATTGACCAAAATCCGAATGAATTCAAATTGAGGAAACCGAATGCGCACATCTAGCCCTGGTTAGTCCAAGGGAGGGGGGAGGGGGGGTTACTGTAAAAAACTTACATTTCCGTCATCTCTGCAGGCAAAACTGAAGGTATTGCGGTCAACCCTCTGTTCCTGAAAAAAATGAAAATAAAAAAAATTCTGATAAATCCAAAAAAAAAATTCTGAGATAATTTTTAACTAACTCAATCTATGAAAATCAAGAGAAGCCAGAAAAAAAACCGATTCAACCACAAACAAAATCTTTACAATTGATTTGAAGTTTCCGTTCAAAGTTAAATGTTTGGGTTACCGCAGCCTTTAAACCTAAACGGATTCAGATTACAAAGGTTTATTCATAGTAATAGTTTTTTATCCAATAGAAAACATTCATTCAAACATTTAATTTTACCAAAAAAATCATTTAATATTGGGGATTAACCGAAAAGCCCCAAAAAATGATTTTTATTTATAAAGGAGAAAAGCATAATTTTTTAAAGATTTAAAACCCTTAAATTGAAATCTATATTGAGAACCTAAAAACTCCGGAAAAATAATATGACTTTTAGACTCGAGATGTGACTTTAAATAGTCCAATAGAACATGACACAGAGCAATTGCGCAATGTGAACAGATATTACTTTAAAATTTCATGTAATACTATTTGCATTGTAACAACATATAAAATACACTTCGGAACTGCTTTTATGTCGTCTTCATATTTCACAGTTTTCTGGTTCTCAGTCTAAAAATGAATTCTGCACTGACCTGCAATCGACAATTCCTTCCATGCATTTACATCCTGGGGGGCACTGAGAGCTCTCCTGTCTTCCAGTACAGGATAAACTTACCGATTCACCTAGGATACAATATTTGTAATATCCCTGCTAACCACATCATTTTCCAATTCCTTGTCCTCCATTAATGAATTTTAGTAAACCCCGCTTTATTGTCCCGGCTGGTTTTGAGCCAAAGAAAATGGTTTCTTTAAAAGGAATTGAGTTTTTGCCACAAACTCAAATTTTCTAATTCCTTTATCTTTTCAACTGATGGTGTAAACCTTTGATATTTCAAACTAAGATTAAATTATCTAACATAATTCATAGTTTGAAATATAAAAAGTATAGGACATAAAGTTACACAAATTAGGAAATCAGAGGGTAATGCTTTTGCTCTTTCCATCTTTTTTAGATCAATTATATGAGATATTTGCAAAATCACACTTGATAAGTGAAAATTCCTAAATATTCCGTCTTTTAACCCTTAAAATAAATATATATATAAATTCCAAATGTGTTCCATGACCATGCCTTGTAAAAACTTGAAATAGAAATTGTATTTTTTGGAGCAATTTTGCTCTGCAAACAATGATAAAATTAGTTTTTTATAGATAGATAGATAGATAGATATATATTACAGAAAATTGAAGTATTAAGCGTAAGCACGTACAAAGTGTAATCTAGGCATAAAATATTAAAGAAATCAAGTTTTAACAATTTGTTTTTTAACCACATATATTTCAAGGGTAGAGTGTTGGTTTAAAGAATTTTCGATGATAAATGGACGGGG